GTGCTTGACCGGCGTATATGACAGCGTGTACCAGTTCCCACTAATATCCAACAACTTCCCACAGCCATTGAAGAGGAGTGGACCAACATTCCACAGGCCACAATTGACAATCTGATAAACTCTATGCGAAGAAGATGTGTTGCACTGCATGAGGCAAATGGTGGTCACACCAGATACTGACTGGTTCTGAGTCCCCAGACCCCCAATAAAGCAAAACACTGCACATTCCAGGGTGGCCTTTTATTGTGGGCAGTCTAAGGTACACCTGTGCACTTACTCATGATGTCAGATTAGCATCTTGATGTGGCACACCTGTGAGGTGGGATGGATTATCTCAGCAAAGCACAGGTGCTCACTATCACACATTTAGACTGACTTGTGAACAATGTTTGAGAGAAATGGTGATATTGTGTATCTGGAATGAATTTTAGATCTTTAAGTCCATCTAATGAAAAATCGGAGCAGAAACAAAGGTGTTGTGTTTATATTTTTGTTGAGTGTATTATCCAGTCAGTTTCTTCCTTTTATACAATGTGTTCCTTCCCCATTTAGTTAATTAGTCTCTCCTGATCCCTTCAGCTCACACTCCCCACACACCTGCTGCCTGTTTCCCTAATCGCTTCCCTCTGTGTATAAAACCCTGTCTGGTCTCTCAGTGTTTGTCGGCCCATTGTCTTGTGTCAGCGTTGTTTTGTTCCCTCCCTGGTTGTCAGTAGGTTTGTGCTCTTAAATGAGCTTCTGTTTTGTTTTTACGTCTCTAGGTTTAGTTCTGAGTCTTGTTTCCAGCACCATTATTTAATTAGCTACGTCCTAAATAAAAGGATTTTACTTTTTCAGTCGCTCCTGCTTCATGATATCTGGTGTTCTGCATCTTGGGTCCTAAGCCCATCCTGCTCTCAACGTGACACCACTATAATCGAGCATGGTGTGCTTATTAAACAATTCCTAAATGTTTATGTCTGCATCTCAATGCATCAATTAGATTATATTCCTCAGCTCTAATGAGCACACCAGATAAAAAAAAAAAACGCTGCCTAAAACCTGCTGTGATTGGTTCATCGATGTGTCTGTCGTGCCAACAGAAGCACAGTAGCAAATTGCGAGACTCAGATGAGAAAAACAAATGTGTGCCGCGTTCAGAAATAATGGCATAGGCAGGTGAGAGAACACAAAAAGACGGTTCTACAATCGTTTTGGTAAATCGTCATCACATTAAAATCCGTAACGATCTTGTATCATCAAGTCGTACGGCCCTACTACAAATCAGCTGTTGCAATATGACATCCCTGAAAATACTCTTCTCCCCCAGCGTAGCTGCTACTTACATTTATAGGAGTTTTCTCCACATTCAAATCTCCTTCCTTTGTCCTGGAGGAAAGATTTGAAGCTCGCTAAACCAATTCCCTTCTTCTCCAAGTCTGGTTCGATTATGTCAGTGTGCTGAGACAAACATTTGTAGTCCTGTATGTCTTTTCACACAAAGCCTAAAATGAGTTTAGCTCCCGTTCGAGAGCAAAAAAAAAAAAAAAAAAAAAATGCTTTCTTGGCATCAAAATGTGTCTTTAAAATTCACAGACATCATATGTTCAAATTCATGGCAGGTATCAAATAGGATCAGAAAATAACTTTTATAGCCGCATTGACTCGCATTAATTTTTTCTGACTTCCGTAGACTCAAGGTCCGGAAATAGATGGGTGTGACTTTGGCTCCCTGTAATTAAAAACACAAGGTGACTATTAATTGATTGATGCTCTAGTTTCAAACAGTGGTTGTTGGTATTTCATAATTATTATTTTGTTAATAAAAGTGACTGAAATTCAGAATAAAACTATGTGTTGTGTAACATTTAGCAACAGACCTTTAAAACCATGATCAGATCATTTTCTATCAGTACGTTTCACTGTATACTTATGGCGACAAGCTTATTCCCAGATGTTATGGTAATACTTTATTTTTCAATAAAAGAAACAAAATCTGTTCTTTTAATATTTTTTGTATATTGTCCACAAAATCAGAATTCTCTTGAAGATTTTTAAATTCTGTTTTACCTTGACCAACACAAAAATTGAAACTAAAATTTTAAAAAAGGAAAAATAAAACAGAGACCCAGTTGCATAGAATGTGTAATCATTCTTTTTAACAGAAGATAAAAGTTGATAATGACATTTATTAATCCTTCTCCTGTATAATTAACTGGTTTAAAGATTAAGAAAGAGTCATGTGTTCCGTTTAAGGCTATATCATATCAATTCAGGATGCACCTGTACATCCTGAATTGGCTTAAAAGAAGATGCTACGTTAAAACCGTAAACTACGTAAGCTTTGAGGAAGTTGTGCGGCGCGGACCGTGCATATTAAAAAGAGCGTTTGTTAAGGTTTATTGTAAACAAACGCGACAATAAATGCAGCGATAAGCAGGGCTTTGACAAGAAATGTTTGCTAACATTAAACATCGATTTTACAACATGCGAGGTCTTGTTAATAATAGTTACTGCTAAATGAACACAAGAGAACATATAATCATTGGTAATGTGTGTGATGAGAATCTGACTCTGCAGTTCATTGGACACTCCAGATGTTCCTGTTATCTGCTGCTCACCCCTCCTCTTGGGTGTTTTTCTGCACACGGCGTGAATAGATTCCTGTTCTCTGTTGAGATAGTAGCCATCCTGTTTAACCATATCTCAAGGCTGCAAGTCTGCTGTTTAGAGGATTGTTCAAACTTAACCTTGTACACACATGTGACCCCTCCCTGCTTGAGTGAATAAATCTAGCTGTCTCAAACTGAGAAATCAGAACACTTCTGGCAGCTGCTGAAGCAAGTAGGCAAACCTTGCATGAGAGCTGCCTGTTCTCCCTCTGCAGTGGTGAATCTTATTTTGACTGGTTTTTTTGACTCCAACATCAACTCAGAAGCAGACATCTTTTTCTCCAATCGCTCCGAACCTGTCTTGGTCTTTCAGGACCAACAGTGTGCAGTTAAAATTTTCAGAACTTCTATTGGAATAAATTGTGATCCACATCCTCAGTTTATTAGAAACCTTTGCAGATTATCTGGTTGCTACGTTTTTTTCCCCCCTGTCATTCCAATGCCACATATGTACTGGTGGAGATAAAAGGGAAATAAAATGACACAAACACCACAAAACGCCTTGTTATTATCTTTAGTGAAAATCAAAGACATCTGCATTATTACTGAGATGCAGATGGCCACATTCTGTGATAGCCACTATCATATTGTGTGACCTTACTTTAACTGCAGTTACAATGATTTTTACACCACACAAACTGTTTCTGGTAACTTCTGATGATGTAGTTTATAAAAAAGTGCATTTGACCTCTGACATCTGTGTTATTACTGAGATGCAGATGGCCACATTCTGTGATAGCCACTTTCATTGTGTGATCATGGTCCGCGCCGCACAACTTCCTCAAAGCTTACATAGTTTACGGTTTTAACGTAGCATCTTCTTTTATGCCAATTCAGAATGTACAGACGCAACAAAACACATCACTTCCCCCTGGGGTCACAAATTGTGATGGTCATAGAATTTGGTGCAACACCGGCAGCAGAAGCTGGAAAAAGCTCAAAGGAGGGGGTGCTTTGGCTCCGCGCTGACGCTGCAAAGCATCATGGGAGTTGTAGTCTTTGCGGTAAAATTGGCCAGCGGGTCAGTTTTAATCAAGCCCCCACAATGTGGGTCTGAAATTGAAGCCAACGTGGAAGTGAAATAAATAGCAGTTCCACCCTCATCCACTAGGGGCTGGTGTCAGAAGCGAGCAAATCCTCATTGACTCCCGTGTTAAAAATACCAATTTCACAGCAGGAATAAACATGTTTACAGCCCGGTTCCAAAACATGTTTTAGGTTTAATAGATCTAGTTTACACTCATGGCAACTCTGAGGGGCGTGAATTTTTTTCCCACTCTTCTGTTTAAGTGTATTAAAAGCCTAAAAATTTTTATAATTAATGAGCATCAGACCCACGTGACCGCAGCATCAGACCCATGTGACCACAGAGCTAGCTCCGTGGAAAGGCCTCAGTAGCCTCAGCCTCGGCCTCGCCTGAAAACTGTTCCGCGATTTTTAGTCTCTGAACTTAGACCATTAGTTGTAGCGTATGTGTATTCTTTTTTGGATATTATTTGTGCAATTGTTGGACAAAATGACTTGCTGTGGCATTAATTGCACTAATAGAGCGTCCAAGGAGACTCCACTTCATTTTTTTCTGTAAGTAAAATTATATTCATGTATTTTAGGTCTCTGCCACTTTTGCACTAGCTGAGCTTATCAAAATAGCTAGCTAACTACCATTTTAACATGTACTGTTTAACCATGAAATTTAGATGTAATACGGTAAAATAATTAATAGGGTATATGTCGATGGGTAAAACCCAGCCCTAACACAGAAAGTCGCCACAACGTCGCATTTTGCGACATTTCGTTTGTGACGTAGTGACAACATAGCTGCTACGTTTAGGTTACTATGTTCCACAGGGGACGTTGTTGGTACACTGCTGAACGTCACACTACAACGTCCTCCAAAAGTCGCTTTACAACCTCTGTTAAATGTCCTCTCTGTAACTTATTCGGCACTTTGAATAACAATGTTGCTGCTACGTTGTTACAACGTGATAACTGTAGTTCCAGAATAAATAAAATTTAAGAGAGATTTTATCATCAAATTAGATTTTCAGTGTATCCATACTGTGATTCTAATCTGGATTTTGTTAAAATTTTAAATGTTTTCCTCAACACACATGAAAAATAACACACAAAGATATTTTATTTGGTCTTTTAATTGTTTTTTTATTATTATTAGAGTTTTGACAATAATTAAATACTTTGCTTTTTATTATTATTAGAGTTTTGACAATAATTAAATAAACAATTAGTAGTTGCAGTACTTGAATCATGTTTATAGCTAAAATGTCTTTCTAATTTTAAAAAAATGGGACTTTTTATTTTATGAAAAAAACTTTTCTAAACTTTGTTTACTGAAAAACTCATTTTTGCTGTTTACAAATGTTTAGTTTCTAAAATCCACCAGCAAGGAAATGTAAGCTAATTTACATGTTACTGGCCTCACAGCATTCCAATGGAATGGCTTGTTGCAACAACCCTGAAAATGAACCAATTACTGTGACTGATGTTCCAGCCAGTTCTCTGATTTGTTATGGTCATCACATGTTCCACGACCATCTTCCAATCAGCTTAATCTGCCTCTTTTTTTGTTCTTATTTTATCCCTTGTTTTTTTCCACAATATTCATTTCCAGTTAGTTGCTCTTTGCTTTTTGGCTACTTCGGATTTATTTGCTATTTGACTACTTCAGATTTATTTGTCAACCACTCACTCCTTAGTTTGCTTGCTTCAGGTAAGAAAGTTTTATCATGTGCTTGTTAGTTCTAATTTTGGTTTACAAAAGGCAATAGCATATATCTGCCCTCAAACAATAGCTACCGCATGGTAGCTTACCTACTGTAGTTTATTCAGTCTGTTCAAGTAAAATCAAACAAACGACTTTTCGCTTGATTTAGAAAAATATCAATCTAATTTCAAGCAAGATGACTCTGTGACTATTCTATTGATATAACTACAACCGGTGTATTTGTAGAGTTAGCAGTCCAGCTACCGTTAGCCACTAGGTAGCCCCATTGCTATGCAGTCATTACACGTGTTCTCACATGTCTGCTCGATCAGTAAACCTCTGGGCTAATGTTCTGCCCTGAACGTTATGCGGCTCAGTGGTTTTTAATAATTAGGTAATGTTTATTGTGTTTAAGCAAGCCTTTTCACTGTGTCTGTCGACTGAGATTTATTGAGATCTTGTGTAGAGAGACGGCCATGTTTAGCTAAACATGAATGGAGCGTTAGAAATTTGTGTTTGGGGCAGGGGGCGTGATGGACTTTTAGCCATTTGAGCAAGGATGTATCTAATGTGGCATGGTGGAGAAACGAGGGCCCGGGCGGGATTCGATCCCCAGACTCCCGGGTGAGAGTCATACGCTCTAACCAGTCAGCCAAAGGGACGTCCCCTTGGCCAAGTAGCCAGGGCACATGATCAATCGGGACACTGTGACAGGACTCTCACACTGCCACATCTCCCCCCCCTCTTTCCACAAGCACATCCTCGTGCTCCCGCGCAGGGTGTCACCAACTTCACCTCCATGGAGCTACTTGACAGTACTACATGGATCCTGCCGACAACGCCAAATGTGGCGAGGTGTAGAAACGAGGACCCGGGCGGGATTCTATCACCAGACTCCCGGGTGAGTCATGCGCGCTAACCAGTGCACATGATCAATCGGGACACTGTGACAGGACACTCACACTGCCACATCAGATGAAGTTTGTGGCACGTGAGAGCACGAGGACTTGCTTGTTGAAAGGGGAATGCTTAGCAGCGCTCCTCGGGGGACGGAGAAGTCCAAGAGCAAAACGTCTCTGTCAACACGTGTGTTCGCCGTGGAGCTGACTCAGAAGCATAACCTAGGCTTAACCCCTCACCCCTGCGCTCAAACGGAGAAACAGCAGCACGCTTCCTAGTCTGCATCAGACAGCAGATCTTTTTGCCTGGAGCCCCGTGACAACCTGTCAGCAGCACCAGGAAACCTTCTCTGGGAGGAGCTCTACACCTACCCCACCTGGAGGACACATCAGGGCAGATCCAGGACTTGCATGACTCACTGCTGCTCTGGATGATCTGGAGGAGTAAGGTCTAAACATCTCTGCTGTGGCCCAGAGGCAGACAGATCAGCTCTTAAGGATTTAAAATATTCCTTTATTTCTAAATGTTTTCACAGGAAACACATCCATGGGTAACTTTAATCTATAATAAACTGGAAACCCAACAGACCCATGATGTCATCCAGACCCAAACAAACCCAGGAACACCCGTTCACAGTAAACAACCCCATCATGTTTGGTGATTTAAATAACTTTACCACATGGCTCCTGCTGCTGCCTCTGTTGTTACAATCGGATCCTCTGGACGGGATTTAGACAAGAATTAAATCCAGCAGCTTACAATCCTAACAGAAGACAGTGACCTTTCACCTCAAAGAACAAATACAAACCATGGAGACAAAACAAAAGCAAATAAAATCAAGGCAGAAATGTCCAGTTGGACACAGCTGTGTCTCTGTTACGTATCAGGAAGTGTCCATCTACCCCTCTGACAAATCACACCGTCCCTTCGTTCCCTCTTCTGTCAAAGCTCGTCCTACAAGACAGGACACATGTCAGATTCAACTCCAGTTGCTGTCTTGGTTTGACTTCCCATACACTTCCCACACCTACCTTCATTGTGCTGTGTAACCGTGGCAACTGCTGCTCTATTCGATGTCTGATGATGTCAGCAATGGTGTCTGCGTCCCGGCTGTTGATGTGCTCTCCGCTGTGTTCATGCTGTCACAAAGCACATAATCAAGCTTCTGACGTCAGACCGACACAAAAACCAAACAGGCCAAACAGGGAGGGAGACGCATTCAGGTGGGACTGGTGGAGACAGGTGGAGGTCTGACAGGTGAGGTGAAGGTGTGACGAACACAATCAGTCATTCACCCATTCACACACAATTACACACACTGGTGGTGATGAGCTACGATGTAGCCACAGCTGCCCTGGGGCGCACTGACAGAGGCGAGGCTGCTGAGCACAGGCGCCATCGGTCCCTCCGACCACCACCAGCAGGTAAGGAGGGTAAAGCGTCTCACCCAAGTTTCAAGGTTAGGAAAGTGTGGGTATGGTGGCTGCAAAGGGCCAGGCAAGGAATTTATGCCAATCTACTCCAAGAGATGCGCCTTAAAGACCCAGAATCTTTCCGACAGTACCGCCACCCGGATCCTGAATCCTTGAAGAGGGTAGTGGAAACAGTGCGCCCATCGATCTGCAAGGTACCGCTTTGTTTATTTTTCTAACATGTCAACCTGAAGAAGTGAGTTTTCAGCTGCTTTTCAAAGGAAACAGGAGACAGGTGAGGGTCAGCAGTGCTGTGGCTGAACGATGGTTTATGAGCTGGTTTGCATTTTGGCTGATGAACGTTAAAACGAGCATCAGCTCCAGACCTCCACAGAGCCTCGCTGAAACATCCTGGTAACCATAGACTTAATAACAAGTAGAGTGCTCAAACGCGGCTGCCATAGGCAGCAGTGGTGGGTATGGCATTTACTCTGCTATGCCTGTGGACCTCATGGTGTTTCATTTGCCTTGGAAAACACACAACTGCACATAACACCCATTTTAAATGCACCCTTACATGTTTATCTTCTCCAGTAAACACCTATCCACCACAGCTGCTGTCGTTATCACAACGAGCTGCTGTATCGAACCTCAAAGCTGAATTAGAAAACATTCTCTGACTTTGGGGCGTTCCAGTTCATTATTCCTACTCTGAAGTTAGAACTGGAACGAACCGGGGAAAGCATCAGATCTGGAAACCCTGGTCAAAGTCCCGCCGCTGTAGGTACTGGATCTGCTCGAGGTCCTGCGCCTGCCAATGACGTCACACTTTAGTCTCTGTAGATATTCTTTCACACACAGGTTTTGGGAAAATGTAGTTAATAAATGCATGATTCTTACCGCCTAAATGCTTTCTTCCTTTGCCTCTAGTACTTGGTTAATAAAGCACAGTGGTGTCTTAATCGTGTAAAGAGGGTTAAAGTACATAAAATCAGCGTCACTGTGGCAAAAAGCACAACAGTTCTTATATGTGAACATTTTTAAATGTATTCATCTAAATAAAAGCCATTTCATTGGTTTAAATGTGGAACTATTCTGTATATTACATTAGTTATATGTAAATTCACTCAATCATTTAAAATGTTGTTTACTTGCTATTTGTTCCATTAAATTCTTTTATTTTGCCCCATTTCATCAAAATCAAGAGTCTTCATTTATCAATTAATACTCTACGTTTCCTTAGGCATCCATGAATTCAATTCATTTTTTGGGACTACAGCTGCAAACTAGTGGGAATTAATCCACATCTTCAGTGCCAACGTGCTACTGGAACGTTTACCAGCGTGGTAACCTCCGTAAGTGCTGACCCCGAGCAGATTTGGTACCTACTATGGTAATACTTAACTATCATGTATGTATTTGTTTGCATATCACTCATGTGGGGCTTCCGACCCACGTTCTACAACTGTTTTTGTTCTTTTTAATGCACAACATTTGAGAAGTTAATGAGTTTAAAGACGATGAAATGTTTTACGTTTTGAGGTACGTTCCTTTCTTCTTCCCTCAGATTGACACCAATACTTCCTCTTTTGATGAGAGCTATCCAGTTTTTATGTACGTAAACAGAAGTAAACACAAAAGGTCATGCAGGGTTATCTTAATGCATCTTCTGTCCTCTAACAAGTCCACCAGAGGTCCAGCCTGCTGCTGTTTAGCATAGCTCCCTTAACTCCAGAAGGTGGTGTTAGGGGCAGGGCTACACTCAGACAGGTCACTAATCCATCAACGGTGTGTGTGTGTCTCCTCACCTTCCTCGTGCCCTGAGACAGGTAGAATTTGAGGGTTGGGTAGGCAGTGATTCCTGCTGACCGACAGGTCTGCTGATGAGCCTGACAATCCATCTTCCCCGCCAGGACTCGCCCTTTCAGCATCTGTGCATCACAAACACGCCTTTAAGAGCTTCTAACCCACACAGAGAAGATCTGAGACGCTTCGTGTGGCAGAAATAACTCTTAAGTATCTCACCCGAGCCAAAACCTCAAATTCGGGGGCAAAGTGTTGACATGGCCCACACCAAGGGGCATAAAAATCCAGAACCCAATGATCCTGGCCCGCCAGAACCTGAGACCTGAAGGTTTCTGGAGTCAGGTCCACCGACGCTCTGGGCAAAGCACTACACACGAAACGCTTGGTGTCACCAACAGCTATGGGAGGTGGTAGCAGAGAGGACGGACTCAGGATGTAAAGCTCACCTGAGGGCCCACACTCTGAGGGATTGAGAATCTCTGTGCCAGCCATTGTAACTCCTGCACACAGACACGGATCCTCAGGTAAACCATCTGAAGGCATCAGGACCGGTCTTCTGACATGCATGCTATAGAACATGATACATACATGTAGCGGTCCGGCTGCTTGGTGCTGCCTGTGTAAAGGCGGATTTCAGGGTACGCCCTCACACCCTGATCCCGACAGAACGTCTGAAAGTGCTGACAGTCCAAGGACCCTACCAGGATTTGACCCGACAGCATCTGTACATAAGAACCATGGTCATCTACTGTCCATTAAGAGCGGCTGATGGTGTGTGTGTGAGTGTGTGTGTGTGTCCTACGCGGGCCATGCGTCTCCACTCAGGCATCAGAGCTTGACAAGGACCACACCAGGGAGCATAGAAGTCTACAGCCCAGATGATTCCCTCAGCTCTCCCTGTGGAAGAACAGAACCTCAGAGTGGATCCTGCTGATCTGAGTAACGGAGTTTCAGGAAGTCAGGAGTAGGAACAACAAACAGACTCTGCACACGAGGAGTACTTACTTCACCCAGACACGCGGACACATGCTAACGTATGCTAACGCCTGATCAACAGAAGAGCTCATTTGACTTTAAAAGACACATTAAGGGAATATAAGGTGTTGGTTAGCTGAAGCGGACTAGCTGGAGCTGTCCGTGGTCGTTAAGTTAAACATCAATCACTTCATTCATTAAGCTTGGCTTTCTTCCTTTGCTTTTGCATTAAATTATTAAATGTCTGCAACCCCCAAAGGTGCTTTACAACACAACAGCCACTCACCCATTCACACCTTGGTGCTGATGGAACACAGCCACCGCTGGCCTGGGGCGCACTGACAGAACACGGGCACCACCGGTTCCTCCGGCTGGAGTGACTTGCCCAAGGACATAATGACTGTGACAGACTGGACTCGAACCTACAACCCTCTGGTTATGTGGTGGGCCCGTTACTTGGTCTTGTAGAGTTGGTCCAGGTTCTTCACTAAGCACCTCATGATTTTTATCCTGAGGAACTGTATCAAATATCCTTTCTTCTGCTCCACTACTCTTGGTCTACAGACGTGTAAAGGCTTCAAACTGGACAACCAAAACAAACATTCATTCATAACTAATAAAGATAACGTGCTTCATTTGAAGTTTAAGCAGCTGTATAAACGTTTTTTACTGACACGAGTTAAGGACTGAGTCCACACCAGGCTGGACAGCTGGATCAAGGCTCTACTTCAGCTATTCAGTGCTGATATCAGGCTGTGGAGATATGTTTGACTGCTTTTTGAGAACCCCATTAGCCACCGTTAAAACAATAGCTAGCCTTCCTGGGGTCGAACCATCAACCCTAAGCCATCAATCATTTTTACATTATGCTTCAACACAAAGCAGCCACAGAGTTTACACACAGCATACAAAACAAACAGATTACAGTCATACCAAACTTAACAAAAGTAAAAATATACATAAAGTTAAATATCAAATCATCACCCATTCTTGTACCATCTGAGTCAACACGACAAAACACAGGATATCATACAACATCCACGCCACCATAGCCTCGGTTTATAGCCCAAGAAACCTTCTAAATATACATGTAACACACAATCAGATATCAAATCTCACATAGGACACCAACAATAACATTTATCACTTAAATATGCATTCACCTTCCTGCTGGTAGAACAAATATATACTTTCAATTACTTTTACAGCAATCCTGCAAATGTTTCTGAGTGTTATGGAAATTTTATATTACTTTGGTCCTATTAACAGATCTGTTGGGTGAATGTCCTGAAAGCACACACACACACACACGCGCGCGCATACACACACACGCACACAGATTGCATCACAGCTAAGCACACAGTTTTAATCACAGAGGAGCTAAACAAACACCATCAAACTCTTTTCCCCCACACTTCCACATACATTTACACAACACATGCACACACACACACACACACAAACACGCGCACACACACACACACACACACACACACACACAAACACGTGCACACACACACACAAGGTTGGGGTAGGCGGAGTTGGAAAACAGCAGGCGTGAGCAGAAGCGCTCGTCAAAAATTCTCGCCTGATGTGAACAGAGGAGAAACCGGCAGTGCATGAATTTCTTGAGCGATCTCCTTTGTGGCGCTTCGCAGTTGACGTGAGCCTGGTGTTAGACACTACAGTATAGCTGCTGTACAGACAAGCCTGTTAGAACCCCTCCTACCAGGTAGGTCCGGGTCCTCTCATAGGAGCCAGATCAGTCCGATAAGAACGTTTGTGATGGGAAACAGGGTAAAACCCGAACATCAGACCAGTTTTAAAAAGTCTCTATCACAGTCTCACCTCGGACTCGGTCTGTGAAGCTGGAGGGATCCAGGATCACCACAGATGGATTGACCAGGTCCTGCAGGAACATGAACAGGAACAGATCTTGCATTCATACAGTTCAGACAGACGGGCCAGAAGACGAGCGGTTTCTCCGATGCTGTAAGTCAGGTGTTACCTGTATGAATTCCAAGATGCCCTCTGCTGAGTGATGTCCCTCATATTCATGAACAGAGGAGTCGTTAAAGACCATGGTTGTAGGATAGGCCTGAATATTATACTGAAAGAAAGATGCAGAAGTAAACACCAGGCCCCCCTTTATTAACTGCACATACACACACATCTGTGCGTTGCAACGATTTTACATAGTGTGCCTCCATCTGGTAGCCTGGCAAGCCAGACTAAATAAATGTAAGCAAGAATTTGGTCTAGTTCACTAGGCTATCCATCTGGCATTTTTAAAATCAGGAACGTGGGGATTTCCCTCATGAACTAAGGATGTGGTGTGACCAAATATGGTTAATTGAGGGCGTTTCTGACTGTCAACAGACACAAGCACCTGGGTACGCAGAGGTGGAATTAATCAGCACTCTTTCATTTGAATGATGGAATATAGGACAGCTTCTATGAACATTTGATAAATGAGGGCCCTGGTGTCATGTTCTGTGTCCCTCTGGTCCCCAGCCCCCTCCTGTTCTCACTCCAGGTTCTCCTCCTGTGTCTCATTGTTCCCCAGCTCTCTCTCGGCTTCCCTCATGTTTCCTCCTAGTTACTCCCTGGTAGTTCCCATTTTACTTTGTATTACTCCTCCTCATCCCTCTAGTTATTAGTTCTCTATATTTGCCCTAAGCCTTTAGGTTCAGTTATTCAGTGTTTCATAGGTTATGTTTATCTTCCCTCCTGCTTTGTTTTGCCCCCATTTAGTTTATTGATGCCACCTGTCTTCCCTCCAGATTTCCCTCCTCACACCTGTCACCTGTTCCCGATTACCTCCCTCTGTGTTTAAAAACCCTGTCTTGTCCCTCAGCGTTTGTCGGTCCACTGTCTTATGTCAGCATTGCTTTGTCCCCTACAGATTTATAGACCCTGGCTCATGAGTGAGCTTTTGATTTTTTTATCTATAGAACTTTAGTTATTCTTTGCTTGGAGTCCTACAGTCTTGGTTCTCCTAATAAAAGGATTTTTATTTTAAACAACCTCTCCAGCCTTGAGTTGTGGTGTACTGCATTTTGGGTCCAAACCTCTTGCACTCACACCGTGACACCTGGTTAGGACAGCTAGAGAACCAGTCATGTGGGCCAGGCAGTTCTTACCATGGAGCACAAATTGTGGTGGATGGTACAGTCCAGAGTACCAAACTTTATTTGTCCAGCCAGCTGGATTGAAGCTTTCCTCAACTCCGGCAGTAGAGCTCGACATGGAGGACACCACTGCACCCAGAAAGACACATTACACAACCAGCATCTATCTGTACGATTGCATGAGTTTATAAAGTTTCAGACAGTCAGAGAAGAGTTGGATGTATAGTTTTAGGGGGACATCCTTTGTTACCTACAACTGTGTTTATATGTATAAAATTATATTTATTCACCCAGCGTCAAATCACAACAAGAGTCGCCTCAAGGCATGTCATGAAGTAAACCTTCCAGATGAGTTCAGTTATTTATGCCAATCAGTAAAAAGGTTCCTATAGGAGCCCAGCAAATGGCATTGAGCCACTGTGGTGTCAGTGTCTGTACAGCAATCCTCACACTAAGCATGAGTGTGTGAATGAGTGAATGACTGATTGTGTTGTAAAGCACCTTGGGGGGTTCCAGGACTCTAGAAGGCGCTATATCAAATACTGGCCATTTAAGCAAGCATGTAGCGACAGTGGAGAGGAAAATCCCTTTTCATGAGCAGCCATCTGCAATGATTCACTGAGGATTGAGAACACGGCTGAAACAAGCCATCGAATGATTCAAATGGTTTGAATAATTAAATTCCTCGACTTATTTTTTACTGATTCGGAGCTTCGATAAATGTGCGCCCGACAACATGTTTTACTGGCGTACAACGGAAATAGAGGGACCAGCAAAGACCGAAACCATTGTAAAAGGCAGAAACAGTCCAAAGTTTGGGATCAAGAGTTAAACTACGGGCAGATTAGCTAATGCTAAGCTAGTCTGTAGCACGCTCATGATCAAGTAGAGTTCAGAAAAAAAACGTGATGGTTGTGAATGACTAAACGCTACAAGCGGAAGAAAAATCCCCAACTTCCTGTTTATTTGTGAATGTCTGCAGCTGCAGCGGTACGGAGCAGAACCGCTGCAGCTGCTAGCTGGAGTCAGCTTGTTGCTACTGAGCATTATTAGCGAGACTGCCGGTCAGCTCCACACACTGTAGTAGGTCTACGGCAAGACATTGTAGAATGTAATTCACAAACACTTCTATATTTGAATACAATTTAGACTGGATTATGTTGCCAATAAGTACATAATAAAATAAATATGCTACCATTACATTGCTACTAGTAGAAATTAAATGTAATTAGCATTTCTAGTAGCTTACGACTGAACATGTTACTGAAATAATTACATTCTACTGATCATATGTGAATATATTTAGATATGTACTTGTAAGTCGCTTTGGACAAAAGCGTCTGCTAAATTCATAAACATGAACATATGTTTAGACAAGGACGAGTGATATTAAACCTAAAATTTTAATGAAGTATAATTAAAAAAAATTTCCATTAAATATTTATTAACTTTAAATATCAGCTGGGAAAGAGGGAACTAGACAACACTAATTTAATACATATTATTTGTTGAGGGTCTGACCTCATGAGGAAATTACTGTGCAGTGATTTTCTCTAAAAAACTGTGTTAAATTGCTCTAAAAGAACATATTCAAACATCAGTGCCAAGAGACTTCATTTGAATGAATGAATGATCAATTTATTCAGTCAGTTATCTTAAGATAATGTACATTAACATGTCATACAATTAGATACAAATACCATTTCTCACTAACATATGCCTTGTTTTTTATATGGTGTCTATTTGGTATATCATGACTGAATAGGTTTAGGCAGAAGCAATAGCTTATATAATTGCCTAACCTACTTACAAAACATTTTTTTAATTTCCCGCAATGAACCAACAACCCAAATAAAAGTAAAACACAAATCCATCCATCAACATCAAATTAATACTCTTCAAAAATGTTTTTACTGATAAGTTTTTTAAGAACTGAAAGAGAAGTTGCTAATTTTAATTCTATTTTAGCCTCATTCCAAAATTTTACTCCCATTACAGAAATACATCTCCTTTTCATGCCCTTTTTGGCTTTTTGTAGAACAAACATACATACACCTCTTAAATCATATTTACTTTCCCTCTTTACAAAGAACATTAGTATATTTTTTGGCAGAGCTGTTAATTTTACTCTAAACATAAATTGCATTATTTTATAATAATATAGATCTTCTAATTTCATAATCTGTGATTTTAAAAACAACGGGTCAGTATGAGCATAATAATTGCTCTTGTTCATAACTCGAATAGATTTCTTTTGTATAGTTTTTATTTCATGTATATATGTTTTAAAAGTTGAACCCCATATTTCTATACAATATGCCATGTATGGTTGTATTAGTGAACAGTATATTAGACGTAAGGCCTTATGGTTTAGTATGTCCTTCAGCTTATATAATAGACCCAAAGATTTGGCAATTTTTCCTTTTATGTAATTTAAATGATGCTTCCAGGATAAGTTAGAGTCAATCACAACACCAAGAAATTTTATTTCAGACACTCTTTCAATTTCAGTATCTGAAATTGTTAATTTAAAGTCCCCATTTTTTACCTTCTTATTTCCAAAAATCATAAATTTAGTCTTTTTTATATTCAGTGATAGTTTATTTACATCAAACCAAGATTTGAGGATATTTAACTATTTTTCGGCCTTCTTTAAAAGTTCTTTTATATCTTTACCTGAACAAACTAAAGTTGTATCATCTGCAAACATTATAAATTTGAAAAAAATCTGCCACGTTACATATGTCATTTATATATAAAGTAAATAATATAGGACCTATTACTGAACCTTGTGGAACTCCACAACTTATTTCTCTAAATCCAGATTTTATATCTTTAATTTGTACATACTGTTGTCTGTCTTGTAATTAACTCTCTATCCAGGACTTCGCTATTCCTCGTAGGCCATAATTTTCCATCTTTTTCAATAATCTCCTGTGGTCAATGGTGTCAAAAGCCTTCTTTAAATCAACAAATATGCTAATAGAGAGTTCTTCGCTTTCACTTGCTTGGGCTATTTCTTCTACCATCTGCATTATCGCATAGGTAGTGGTTCTGTTTTTTCTAAATCCATATTGACTGTCACTTAATAATTTATTTTTAGTAATATATACGTCTAGCTGGTTCACAAATAATTTCTCGAGTATTTTTGAAAATTGTGGAATAATTGCTATTGGCCTATAGTTTTCCATAGAATGCTTATTTCCAGTTTTAAATGTTGGGATCACTTTTGTTATCTTCATAGTTTTAGGAAAATGACCTTTATGTAGTGATAGGTTATATATATATATGTCAATGGTCTCACAATAGAGAATATAACTTCTTTTATAATTCCCATATCAATTTCATTTATATCTGTGGATTTTTTGTTTTTACATTTTCTTACTGTATTCACAACGTCAGTCTCACTTATCTCATGTAGAAACATTGAGTTGATATTACTATTTATCAGATTATTAAATGTATCTGATGCTTTGCACACGGAAGTAATGTGATGACGTCACCGCAAAAGCGGAGCACTGGTCCAGCCCCTGGACAGCTGGAAGTTATAAATTTCAGCGAAGTGAAACTTAAAGCGTCTTTTGTTCAGCCAACTGACTTGAAGACGCGCGTGGCTGTCGCTCTGGACAACATGAGCACGCGGGAGGCCTGGCTGGGAAACGAGCGGAGCTCCATCAAACCCAGAACCGCTGAAAGCCAAGCAACATTAACCCACCAGGTCTGCTTTCCTGGTGCTGATCTCCAACGGAGGACCATTAGAGCTGCAGTGTGAGGAACAAGGGGACGCCTTTGGTTCGCTAACGCTTGAGTTTTATTTTATTTTATTCCTCTCTATCTCTCTTCATCTTTCCCATTCTTCTAGACCAAAATAAGCGATCACCGCGGGTCGTTTAAAAGTAGCTCCGGTTTTTCTCTTTTTCGTAACCAAATACGTCATATCTCTACCGTGAAGTAAGGTTGTTTGTTATTGTTAATATCTAAGTTTGTCACGCTGTGGCCAGGCTGACAGACTGGGGAGATATTTTCATCCGACTTCATGATTGATTTGGTTTTTCCTTGAGCTCTGTGAAGCGGGTTTAAGAGTCTAAACTTTTGAAGTGTTTAAGTTCAGTTCACTGTAAGTTTAAGTTACTAAGTGTTCGGGAAAGTTGAGAACTGGACACACTCAGTTCTCCTGTGTAAGCGAGAGGGAGGGGAGAGCCCCCCACACACACTCACAGCTTACAGCACACATCTCAAGGACACACTCCCCCCGCGCACCTGCTCTGGGAAAACAAAGCATTCATTCACACACACATTTGATTACACATACACACACACATCTCCAATTATATCAAATTGTCTTAGATTATTAATCCCTGTTTAATTAAATGTTATAAAATTCAGATTTTGTCTCCAGTAACTTCTTTGTGTTGGTGTGAAAATCTCTGCTCCTAGGATTCCACGAACATTTCAGATAGACTGATAATAATTTTGGATTCATTTCCCTTTCTAATTAGAATGGGTGGTGCCCCGAAGATACCTAATTGTATCTTAATTAATTAATACATCCGTAAATATTCCCATATTTACAGAATTTATTGAAGAATCCAAAAGTAAGCAAAAGCTTACAAATTATTTGCTTCCTAATAACCCCAACATAATGATCCCTTTATTATTTTGTTGTTTTATTTTTTTAGAATTTTAGCAGCAGACCGCAGTCTCGTTTCACTTGAAACGCTCTCAGATTAACCATGATGAGAAAACCTTGTATTACAAAACTACACTAAACAAAAAGATAAATGCAACACTTTTGTTTTTGCTCCCATTTTTCATGAGATGAACTCAAACATCTGAAACTTTTTCTACAAACACAAAACACCCATGACTCTCAAATGTTGTTCTGAAATCTGTCTACATGTGCGTTAGTGAGCACTTTACCTTTACCACGATAATCCATCCCACCTCACAGGTGTAGCATATCAAGGGGCTGATTAGACAGCATGAATAATGTACAGGTGTGCCTTAGACTGCCCACAATAAAAGGACACCCTGAAATGTGTAGGTTGATCAAACAGCACAATGCCACATATGTCACAACCTTTGAGGGAGCATGTGATTGGCATGCTGACAGCAGGAATGTCTACCGGAGCTGTTGCCTGTGAAATGAATGTTAATTTCTCTGCCATAAGCCGTCTCCAAAGGCGTTTCAGAGAATTTGGCAGTACATCCAACTGGCCTCACAACCACAAACCATGTGGCCACACCAACCCAGGACCTTCATGTCCAGCATGTTCACCTTTAGGATCGCCTAAGACCAGACACACAGACAGCTGCAGCAACAATCAGTTTAAATAACCAGAGAATTTCTGCACAAACTGTCAGAAACCGTCTCAGAGAAGCTCATTGTCGTCATCGGGGTTTGGACCTGACTGCAGTCCGTAGTCGTAACCGACTTGAGTGGGCAAACCCTCACACTCGAAAACATTTGGCGCCTTGGAGAGGCGTTCTGTCCGCAGATGAGTCCTGGGTTTCACTGTATAGGGCAGATGGCAGACTGCGTGTGTAGCGTTGTGTGGGAGAGCGGTTTGCTGATGTCAACGTTGTGGAATGAGTGGCCCATGGTGGCGGTGGGGTACTGGTATGGGCAGGCGTTTGTTATAGACAACAAACACAGGTGAATTTTATTGATGGCATTTTGAATGCACAGAGGTACCGTGATGAGATTGTGAGGCCCATTGTTGTGCCATTCATCCACAACCATCACCTCTTGTTGCAGCATGATAACACATGGCCCCATACTGCAAGGATTTGTACACAATTCCTGGAAGCTGAAAACATCCCAGTAGGGCCGAAACGATTCCTCGAGTACCTCGAATAATTCAAGTACAAAAAAGCCTTGAGTCAAATTCTCTGCCTCGAGGCTTTGTTTAATTCATGTTTAATTAATTCATGGCTTTGTAATCGCCCGGGGTCATGTTTCACCCAGACCGAAATAAGTGACGCACATACACACTGCACTGAATGCACACGCGAGTAGCGAATGTACTTAACTTTCTCTTAAGCCATGGCGGACAACGTGGACCCCGTTGGAGTGCGAAAGACAGAAAATGTCAAAGGCGTGGGGCCATTTTTCACGTCGTAAGGCGGAAAACGTAGTCCAGTGTAAATACTGTAAAATGAATTTAGCCTACCACAACACCACATCCTCGGTGCTGCAGCACCTGACCAGGAAACATTCACATGTAAATGTCACTTCTGCAAGTGGGCTCGGAGCCTCTACAAGATAATGCATTTTAGCCTGTATTTCTATATATTCTGCGGACACTGTGCAACTTTTTCATTTGTAGCGGTTTCAGCTCACACCGTACATCTGGTAGCAACACGTCGGACTTAAAATGTGCTAAAAATAGCAGTTTTTACAACACGTCAGACTTTTTATTGTGTTGTTATTGATGTCTGTTGTCCCTCGGGACTGCTGCAGGAGGACACATGTATTTATGAGGAAAACGAAAGAAAGTAAATAAATGTTTTATGATCAGTATAACTTGACATAATCACGGCAAACATGCTTTCTCGGCGATCCTTGTTATTATGAGAAAAAAAAGTGCAGAAATTAAAACGATCGTATGTTAGGGAAACAGCTGGCGAGCCATGTTTGCGCATGCGCCGTGAGCGGTTCTGGTGCTGTTTGGACCGCAGCCGCTCGCATTTGTTTACAGTGAAGCCGTTCTGGCTGCTCTCGTGACTGCCTGTACCTGTTTTGTCTACATGTGTGTGTTTAACCTTGGTCAGGTTGTGTTGCGGAGTCAAGTTCCTATGCTCTGGGTCGCTGGAGCACTGGCAATAAAGCTTATTCTGATTCTGAAGTAAAGTTGAAGTGCTGAAGTTTTGAAAACTAATTTTGAATAAAACTTGAAGAATAACTGGCAATTGCGTGCTCATTTTAAGAGGTCTTTCATATTTTATAACATGCTATTTGATATAATGGATTACAAACACAAAAGGGTAATTTATTAGAGTACTCGATTACAAAAATATTCAATAGCTGCAGCCCTACATCCCAGTTCTTGCATGGCCAGCATCCTCACCAGACATGTCACCTATTGAGCATGTTTGCGATGCTCTGGATTGGCGTATACAACAGCGTGTTCCAGTTCCTGCCAATATTCAGCAACTTCTCACAGCTATTGAAGTGGAGAGGACCAACGTTCCACAGGCCTCAATCAACAACCTGATCAACTCTATAGAGACGGAGATGTGTTGCTTCGATAAAATTTAACACCATACAACTGTTTGTATTTAAATATTGTGGTGTTGGCTTCCGCTCTGATGGGTCGAATGATGGCTGCCTAAAGCAAACGCTCCCGACTTCATTACTCGTTTTCTCAACCTATCTAACTTGAAACCTAAAAAACACAAACTGAAAGTGTTGGGTATTATTTTTTGGAACAAAAATGCACAGGAAATTCAAGAAAATCGGTTTAAGAGAACGCAGTGAAGTGGAAGAAGATGCTTCGTCACAAGCTAGCAGTAACATGGAGGATGAGCAGCAACCTGGAGCTAATGCTAACGTGAAAGACCACCCCACTACCATGGATATGATACTGAAAGAGTTGCGTGATCTTAGAAAATACACAAATGAGCAGTTTAACGCCATAAGAGAGAAAGTGAACAATGTTGGAAAGCGACTCGATGAAGCAGAGGGTCGCATAGACGGAGTGGAGACTCGAATCCAGTCCTCGGAGGAGCCGCTAATGGAATTAGCAAAACTTCAGATGCGATATGAAACAAAGCTGCTGGACCTGGAGGGCTGCTCACGGCGTGAAGGAAAGGGAAGAGGACACATTCCCATCTGTTGAAAAATGTATAGAAACTCTGTTTGAAAAAATATTGGATCAATCTTCTCCAGCACTAGGGATTGAAAGAGCGCATAGTGCTATCGCCGAGAAACCCTCTGTTGGGGCCCCAACACGCTCATTTGTTTTCAAATTGGCAAGTTATCGTACCAAAGAGGATATACTCAGGAAGGCTTGGCGCGCAAAGGGGGTTGACTTCCAAGGCACCAGGATACATCTAGACAATGATGATGCCCCAGAGATGCAACGAAGAAGAGAATATGCAGCAGCAAAGAAGGTGCTCAAGGAGAATAATATTCACTTCCAATCACCTTTCCCGGCCACATTGTTTGTGATTGCTTACAGAGTAGTGAGGACACGGAGTGTTTTCCCAGCAGTTCGTCTGACTACTATCATAAACTACTGCCAAGGGCAAAACGTCATCCTCTCTGGTGCTTTCACACTGCACAAACGTTACATAAATGTATAAAATTTAGCTTACCTCGACTTTTGTAAAGTGTCTGGTGCCACCCGACAGCATGTGTCATTTGTTTTACAAACTTCCGCGTAACGGACTCCGTAGTTTTCAAAAAGTTTATTTTTAAGTAAATTGTGGCGTGTTTTCCCAAATACTGCTGCAGTCCGAGCAAGGCAGTTTCTTTAAAATATTCCATTTTAGTAGCCATTAGCAGAGCACTGTGCGTTGTTGTGTGCGTCAGCGCCAGAAAATCAACGTTTATCGTCCAGTAGCACGAAAGTCAACAACAAAGGTTCCACCTTACTTGAACTGCAAGCTCTCACTAAACCTCCTGAGAAGAGGTGACCCTGCCAGGACTACAAACCGGAGCAAAGAAGTCCACCAGCCATGGCTCCTTCCTATCTGAGGGGAAGATGTCCGGCCACAGCGTTGTCACATGGGCACGGATGCTGTCTCTGGCAAAGGCCACGATGTTGTATAACACGTGTTTACCTGCACACACACATGGGTTACACACAACACACACACGGGATACACACACACACAGGTGAGAGCGGAACCTGCACATGAACATACATGCAAGAAGAACTTTACTGACCATGGAAGATCTCAAAGTCCTGGATTCCAAGTCCCTTAAAGACCGCCACACATGGTTTATGAACATAGAGGGACTGACACAGCGCTGGGTCTGCTATGCAGTCCACCCTGCCAACCTGAGGGGACACACTGTTAGCTGGACGGGGACACCGGCCGGCAGAGACACAGACTGGGCCCAGTACCTGTACGTGGTCGTTCAGTAGAAAAGCTTGGAGCTTCTTGTACTCGTTAGAGGCGGAGCTTCTGCCACCAAAGGTGAAACTGACCACCCAGCGATGACGGGCCAGTTTGTCCTGTAAATGATGACGGTCACATGAGACCATCATCTGAACACGCGTGTGTAAATCCGCATCTGCGTTGTCCTACCTTGAAGCTGTCAGTGGTCAGCAGTTCCAGATCCGGTAGATGGTTCAGAACCAGGCTGTAGATTTCTTTGGTGTCCAGCGTCTTCAGCCACTGAAGCACAGCACCACCACATCAGTGCTGCAGGAATGTATGCGTAAGGGTACTTCAGTGTGTGCTCTGCCTCTTACCAGTATGCGGTCTTGCTGATCTAGAGCATTGTCCGGTGGGAACAAACCAGTAGCTCCACTGGTCACCTGCAACACACACATCCCCATAACCTGTAACTAGTGGACCACAGCTCTGATGAGGCATGTTGGGCGGTTATCCGTTCAGCTGGTGGACAGGACAGAAGTCTCTCCATCAACCTGAGGACAGTCTTACCTGGAAGCTTTCACAGAGCTGCTGCTGGTCGGTGCAGTCCATCCATCCCACCTTAACCAGACCGTCCTACACAATCCAGAAAGCAACAGTAGCACAAAGTATATGAACCAGTTCCACATCAGTGACAGGCCCTGGCAACAGCAGGAAGCTACCAGAGGAGCGCGCCATGAAACATCTCACCTCTGCTCTGAATGTAATGACTTCCTCCTCAGTAAAAGCTATTATTCAACAGATATGTTGAAATCTGTTACTGCTCATACCACTTCTAATCAGTCTGTTCTGTAAAGAAGTGTCTGTTTTCACTCAGAGTCCCACATGTTAGTAGTCTAGCTGATGCCCCACCAGGCTGCTGTGGGATCAGGCCTTTGGGGGCTTTCTGGCTCCAATATCAAACATTTGTGTCCTTTGGGGTCTTTCTACTTCATTCTCACCAACATTCCAGCAAGTTTCTGCCTTGTCCTGGGCTCCAGACAGTCTGAGGGACACAAACAGGAACGCTTGTCAGAAGTGTTCATGCAGACAGGAGCAGGTTCAGGTGGGGTGTCAGGAGTTACCTCCGGTGTCGAAGCAGAAGGTGATCAGCCAGCTGAGACTGGATGCAAAAGCAGCCTCCAACTCCCTGAACACGTTACCTACAAAAGGTATGGCACCACAGGTGAGACAGCCGAGCCTAATCCTCACACACACACTCACACACACACACACCCTGCCACAGCTGGGTCACACCGGTGGTGATGAACTGCATAGAGAAGCGGACCAGGTCCTCTTTGGTTCTCTCCATGGTGAACTTCTCAGGAGTCTGCAGAAACACAGAGAAGATGCCGTAGAGCCACACCAGCAGGAACATCAGCAGTGCTGCAAATCCCAAACAAAGGGTGGCAGACGGCAGTGGGACACGGCATCTGGGGTTGGATCGGGACCAGGAGACACGTCATCAGTGGATGTATCTGTGGACGAGCTGCCTCTGTCCCTAGTGAGAGGACATTTCCCACAGACGCTGTAACTACCCACAGGTCTGTCCTTTCAGCAGACAATGTGGACAAATAAATGAAGGGTGGATGGAGGAGGAGGCGACTAACCCTCCAACTGTCCCTGCTTTCGGTAACTTATTTCTGTCCTCTGGGCCGCGCTCCAGGGCGGTCCAGAGGACATACCTGTCCTGCTCTGTAGATGTACAGGCTGGGGTAGCTGCTGATGCCCCTCCTCCTGCAGAGGTAGTTGTTGTCTCCACAGTTCACTGCTCCGATCCGGATCACTCCATCCATCTCTTTGGCAAACTCCCTCCACTGGGTCACAAACAATCGAGAAAGACAAGAAAACATGAGCGTCACCTCACACAGACAGAAGCCTTCATGTTTACAAACTGAAGATTTGGACTTTGTTAAGTTCATGCAACGCGTTTGCTTCCACCAGACGTCAGCTGGACCGGGTGGTGTTCATGTTTGAGCTTCAGTACCGTTGGAGCCAGCTGGTGGCAGTGTGAGCATCGTGGGAAATAAAAGTTGATGAACCAGATCTCTCCAGAGTTTACAGCAGCGTCTGAAACACACACAGGTCTCATGCTTTGTTTTTAACCATCACGGGTGACACTGACAAAAAACTAGAATCTGGTGCAAAGGTCCATCTGTCAGTACTCCAGCTCAGACTGCGAGACCATCTAAAGGCCCAGGAACCCTCTGCAGGTGTTCTGGATTCATTAGTCAATCTGTGACTAGAATATTGAATCTTTTCACAATATTCTGACCGTCTGAGGTTTTGAATGTGGGGCTTTCATCAGCTGTACACCATGATCATCACAGTTAGAACAAATAACAGCTGATAAATCACTGCCTGGCCAAAAAAGTCTCCACCTGGGTTTAACTAAGCAAACAGGTAGGGACCTCCTATTGGATAATTACTGCATAGGTGATTATCTCTCTGCTGGAACAAGTTATTTAACCCAACTGGTGCACTGAGCTAGCCCAGAGAACAAGACCAAATTCTTGCTTTGCTAACTTTGGTCTAGGAACGATCCGCTGGAACCTCCGCAGCCTCTAGCGGCATTCTGGCTGTCCAATCACAGCTGTCTAGAGGGGTCTCAACACATAGAGAGCTGTAATTGGTGCATAATGGTGGGCCAATCACAGCTCTTCATCCGCTTTGTGGGCCAATCAGGGCCCTTTATTCATCTGGAGGGCGGGATGATGCAACAGAGTGGGACAAGATGGTGGCAGCTCGTTGGAAACAGCTTTACATCAATGTTGGACTTGGTTTCTATTAGAACCAGGAGCAGATAGATGTATAAGATAAAAGGATGTGTTTTCAACTTCTTCAACTGCGGACCGCCTCGTTTATAGACATCCGTTGCAGTTGTCCACTAGCATGTGGAGACTGAGTGAAAGACAATGTTAGAACCCACCTCACGATGGGGGGGGGGGGGGGGGGGGTGAAGGTGCATCAGGGTAAGAAGAGAGGCAGATGAAGTGATGCACCCATCATGCCTAGTGCCTACTGTACAAGCCTGTGGGGGCAATGTTATGATCTGGGCTTGCTGCAGGTGGTCAGGTCTAGGTTCAGCAACAGGATGTGCTCTAAGAATGAGGTCAGCTGACTACCTGAACATCCTGAATGACCAGGTTATTCCATCTTCCCTGATGGCACGGCCATATTCCAAGATGACAATGCCAGGATTCATCAGGCTCAGATAGTGAAAGAGTGGTTCAGGGAGCATGAGACGTCATTCTCACACATGGATTGGCCACCACAGAGTCCAGACCTTAACCCCATTGAGAACCTTTGGGATGTGCTGGAGAAGGCTTTGTACAGCGGTCAGACTCCACCGTCATCAGTGGTGATCATGGTAAGACGTTAGCGCAACACTGATGGAGACAAGTCTGGTGACGCCACAGAGAATGTGTGTCGTAATCAAAGCTAAAGGCGGTCCAGCAGAATGTGTGTGACCTCTTTATTGGTGGTGTGTTTGGGCCGGGTGCTGTATTTGGTTTAACATGGAATGAGTGTCTCAGACGTTAGTTTCGCCTTTTAGGTTGAATTACTGACATAAATGAACTTTGCACCATAATTCTCTTCTTTCAGTCTCTCTGACGCTAAAACATGAATCCAGATCTTACCGAAGTCTCCGCTATCCAAAGTGATGATCTCCAGATCGTCGTCGTAAATTCCTGTAAACAGAGCACGTTAAACACCTACGTCCTGGTTGCAGAGCAGATGCTGGTAGCGTCCTACCAAAGTCATATCTGTAGTAGTTCCAGCTCTCGTAACGTCCTCCCTGCTGCTCGTCCAGTCCCTTTTCTCCATATTTATCATATTTCTTTCTCAGGTCCTCGTCTTTCAGAACCTCATAGGCCCGGTTTACTCTCAGGAACTTGTCGTGGGCCAACGGGTCGCCCTAGAACATGTATGTGTTTTAATCAGCAGAAAACATTTGTTGGGGTGAACATTTGAGAGTGACTGACTGGGTTTTTGTCGGGGTGCATGGTGAGCGCCAGCTTCTTGAACGCCTGTCGTATCTCTCTGGTGGTTGCCTCCTTGCTAACTCCCAGCAGGTCGTAGTAGTCTGAGCTGTCCGGCCTGCAGAGCACCGTTACCAGCAGGACGAGGAGCAGCAGCGCGGGCCCAACAGGCCTCACAACCCTGAATCCCATCTCCTGCTCTCCCAGAACAGTTAGAGAACCTGGAACTGGAGAAGAACTTGTATTTGTCAGTCACCACTGCTACAAAACGGTGATGATGAAAAGGAAAAAACCTTTTCTTTCCCATTTCATGACCTGACCAGCAAGAATTTTGATTCCAGTCTCAGTAAAAGTGTGTTCTCTAGACCTGACTGCGTTTGTTTCAGCAGTTTACCTTTGGACGCGCTTCCTCACATTACTGGCATACTGGTTCCATAAAGACCACGTGATGATTAGTCCTAGACCCGCTGTTCCAAAGCAGCCCGGGGATGGACTGAGGTCGAAGGTCAGACTGCCAAGATGGTTCAATTCAATTCAATTCAAGTTTATCTATATAGCGCCAAATCACGACAAGAGTCGTCTCAAGGCACTTCACATAATAAAAATTCCAATTCAGGTCAGTTCATTAAGCCAATCAGAAATAATGTTTCCTATATAAGGAACCCAGCAAATTGCATCAAGTCACTGACTGGTGCGTGTGCTGGGATGGGGGAGGGGTGTCATTTTCTCTCTCTCTCTCTCTCTCTCTCTCTCTCTCTCTCTCTCTCTCTCTCTCTCTCTCTCTCTCTCTCTCTCTCTCTCTCTCTCTCTCTCTCTCTCTCTCTCTCTCTCTCTCTCTCTCATATTATTTATATCCACCAATAATATTAATACTATTTATAGCATGGATTGAAAGGCTTTGAGCCAAAGACGATATCAGACATTTATATGAGTCGTGGAGGATGGCTGCTTATACTGAGCCAGGATCCTCTGGAGGTTTCTTCCTGTTAAAAGGGAGTTTTCCTCTCCACTGTCGCTGCATGCTTGCTTATGTATGCGGATTGCTGTAAAGACTCTGACACTAGTCAGTGACTCGATGCAACCTGCTGGGTTCCTTATTTAGGAAACATTTTACTGATTGGCTTAATGAACTGACCTGTATTAGAATATTTTATTATGTGAAGGTCCTTGAGACAACTCGTCGTGATTTGGCGCTTTATAAATAAACTTCAATTGAATTGAGTGAATAATAATGATGCTGCTGTAAAATTCCACCTCCAGTCCACACCCAGACACAATTATTCTCTCTTCTGTCTCATGAACAGCAGCTGGGATGTTTATGCCCACAACACACTCCTCTGGTTTTGACTTTTTCTTTCTTGTGTTTGCTCCTCATCTATATTTCTGTTTGGATGCCATCTCTTCCACACCTGACTTGGTTGATCAGGTGCTGCATGCCGTTAGTCATTGTGGGAACTTGAACAGCATCATACAGTGGATGGCTGGTATTTACTTGGACACGGACAGAGATGGGTTTTCAGAAATCTCAGAGGTTTTGACTAATAAATGACCGGTTAAACTACCGGTAGTCATCATACCCTGGAAAAAAGGCCCCGGTACTAAAGCACTGGGATGTAGACGTCACACAAGGTCCTCCTATAGAAAGAGAAAACTCCCCCCAAGGATAAAAGTGTTATCACCAGAGGGAGGGGCATCCTTTTTCTTTGATATTACTCATTTGTACATCTTTAATTAAATCAACTACTACATGTTGACTTTCTGAGCTGAATAAACAAATATGTTCTGGTCTGACTGAAGGACCAAAGAGATGTTACTTAGCTCACATTATACAACAGAAGCCCACGACTCATCAGGGGATGGAGAGGAGTACCCACAGTAGTTTCTGCTCGTTAAACAACAACAGACAGCTACAGCTTATAAACTGGACTCTCCCATATTCCAGTCAGAACTGACAAAGCTCCTCGGAGGACAAGAGAAACGTCTTCAAGAAACCAGAGGAGTCCAGCTGCCTTCATCTGAACGCTTGGATCACCATGACCTGGATGAGTGAGAATCTGCACCAGAACACCTCACACTGTTTGTTTTACGTCCTTAAACACATACAAAAGTATCCACTTGTGCTAAGCTAGCGGATCATTTAGCTCTGCAGCTTATACGGCTGACACAACTAAACTGATTATCCTCTAGAGTTCATCTTATTTGTATTCAATCGAACAAAACTGTAGTTCCGTCACCTTTCGTGCGTTTTAACTCCTACACGTCCGAGATCCGTATCAGCGTCCGGCTCTAGCCGGCAACAAGCTAAGCACAACACAGCAAATTGCATCCGGTTATTGGTTTTCAAAATAAAACTCAAACAGCCAAGTAGCTGGTAGATGTGCAAATTAAGCAAAGTCTAGAAACGCGGTTCGTAAAACTGAAACGACTCCGAGCTGGACTAGTGTCAGGAAACAGAGCTAAGTTATGTGATGAGCAAGAGCCTCTAGTCCTCTACGGGCTTGTATGAACCAGAAAGATGCTGCTGGCTTTTATTTTCACAACACACTGACACATTTCAAACTACTTCTGGTGTGTTGATGAGCTTTAAAATTCAGGGTGTAATTATATGACGTGTAGTTGAGCGTGTTCGACAAAGAAGTTACAAAACTAGTGAACTACTCCAAATTGTATGTAATTAATCTGGCATGCCAGGCTAACGAAGCGGGATTTTAATGAAAACGCATTATTTTTTTACCAAACATTTACACTTGAGCACATTCTGCCCAGCACTGTGCTGACATCAGCCAAAAAAGCAAAGGTTGAGAGATTGTTTTGGAGTGGTTCCCGCTTTTAATCCCTTTATTTATTCAGATGAAAACTAAAATTCTTTATAAACCACAAAAGTTTTTAATGTGTGAACATAACTTTTAGCTTAAATTTAGAACACAGATGCACAGCTTTCATGCTTGTGGAGTCTCTCGTCTTCAAAGCACGGCAAGAGAAGAGGATGCGAAGTGCGAACATCTTTCACGAAACGCACTTTTGGTGACGTCATCCACGAGCGCCGGAAGTTATTCGGTGTTTACTCGTTCAATCAGAGTTCATATACATGAGAGAATTTCCACAAACAGGTTCGTTCCAACCGAACGGATCATATCGCGTTTGTAGGTACGGTTTGCTGGCAGGCTAGCTGTGTGTGCGACAACCGCGAGAAGTAAGAGCAGGAGTAGGATCGTCAGCGGTCGTCACTTCCTTCTTTTGAAAATCGCGGCATCAGAATGGAGTCACAAGGTAGATAAAAGTTTTCTACAAAGTTCTGGTGTTGTTTTCTTACTATCGGGGCTGGCTGCCTTTATATGCAGTCACATGCTTAGTCCCGTTTGCACCCGTAGTGGTTTCCCTGGAAGAATACTGACACGCGGCAGCAGGTTTGGTTTAGGACTTCAGATCAGCTCGTGGGTTTTATTCTAATTTGGAACCATTTTCCTGAACCCACTGCGAACCCACTTTGGTCACCATTGTTTATCTTCAGAATTTGACAATTTTCGTGCTGCTTTCATAACAGCCTTAACCTGTGAACGTTAGGACACAGCTCTCATCTTTTTAAATGTGGATCATTTCACTGAAATGCAATCCAAGATGATTATGATGCAGACTAGAGGCTGACCAACATGGTTTCTTAAGGAAGGCCGATACCAATTCTTAAAAATTTTTGTTGCCAATGGTCGATATCTAGAGCCGATTACACACACACACACACACACACACACACACACACACACACACACACACACACACACACACACACACACACACACACACACACACACACACACACACACACAGTTTTAGCAGCACGTTGATTGTACTGGACACTAGCTGTGTGCACTATAAATTAAATAAGTCAATGAATCTCTTAGTTTTATATTTGAAGTTCAATAAATATTAACTCAAAACATAAAAAATGTGCGAACGTTTTCAGAACAATAGAAAATAAAACTGATTGAAGTTTTTTTTAAGTGTTTAAAATAAAGAAAATCAAACAGTACCCAGAATAATGGTGCAAAATAGCATCTGGTCGAGGTGGAATCTTCAAGCAAAAAAAAAAAAACTAAAGCACACTACCACATTGTATTAAAAAAATAATGTTTTAAAAAATGGTGCAAAACATCAAATTTAAAGGCATATTCCACTCAGTAGTAACATGCTGTCTGTTGATGGGTTTCTCAGAGTTAGATAAGTGAGAAAAAGGATTTTGTAGCTAGCAAGCTCAGTCATTCTCCTGATCTGGAAGCAGTAAGTTTCGCTTTAGCTTAGCATAAAACAATGTAAGTAAAAAGAAGGTTCTATGCTAGAAGCTTCTAGGATGAGAAGAAAAAAAATAGATCCTTTGCTATACCCTTAAATGTAGCTGCTGTCGGTGACAACCTAACATTAAACTCTCAACAGGCTAAATGGTTCAAAAAGCAAAAATAATCTCAAGTCTGTGTTGTGAGATTTTATTTTATGATTATAGTGGTAAGGATTAGCTACATTTATGAAATGATCAATAAGATGTGATATTCCATATAAATCTGAATTATATATCTGATTGGCCTTTGAATATTTGAATGTAATAAAGTGAAAATGAGCCTATTTCAACTGTGTTTCAGCAATTTACGTGTTTCGTTTTTGGCTGAAAATCTTCTGTGGCTGAGCTTCGGTGCATCCCTATTGGACATAACTTGCTTCTTATTGAAATTGAGTCCGTGCTCCTTTGGGTATGACCAACAGAATAAGATCACTGATGCAAGCGGCTGAAATGAGAGAGCTGCAGAGTGCTGCTTATTCGTGCGCTGCAGGCAGCTGTCCTGCACACGGCCACAGTAGCAGTTGTGCCACTATCATTCATGACTGCTCATAGGTACTTTCTGTCTTTTATTTGTGCCTGCCGCGCTCCACTGCAGTAGAACTCATCACTCTTGGTCTGGTGACGTCATGTCACCCATGCGGTCGTGCGAGCAGGGCACACTCAACTAATGTAGATCCCTTTGATCTGGGTATTTCAAAAGTAGCTCGTGAGGTGGAAAGTGTAAAAGCCAGGCAGCAGTTTTTCTGGAGAATTGAGTGGAGATGCAAGAAGCTCAGAGACATACAAAACAGGAAAATTGACAAATAAAATCAAGAAAACAAGACAAAGTGCTTGAAAAGGAAAATGTAGATTAATTTATCCCTCTACACATTTTAACTTTATAAAGCAATAACATCCATCCATTTTCTTCCACTTATCTGGAGTCGGGTCGCAGGGGCAGTAGCCTAAGTCGAGAGGCCCAGACTTCCCTCTCCCCAGCCGCTCAGGCCAGCTCTTCCGGGGATGTCCCAAGGTGTTCCCTGGCCAGCTGAGAGACATAGTCCCTCCACCGTGTCCTGGGTCTCCCTTTAGGTCTCCTCCCGGTTGGCCGTGCCTGAAAGCCTCACCAGGGAGGTGTCCAGGAAGCATCCTGACCAGATGCCCGAGCCACCTCAACTAGCTCCTCTCGATGTGGAGGAGCAGTGGGTCTACTCCGAGCCCCTCCCGAATGACCAAGCTTCTCACCCTATCTCTAAGGGAGAGCCCAGCCACCCTGTGGAGAAAACTCATTTGCAATAATATATAAGCTTGTATTTAAATATTTGATAAATATCAGGTCACCTTTCAAACTTCATCCCACCCAGTGACAAATATCTGGACATTTTTGGGGCCAAAGCAACACATCTTCACATTTAGCTTGTTTTTTAATTAAAATGTCTATTTATTTTACAAGAAATATTTAGTTGGATAGTGATGCACCAATATGACATTTTTGGGCCGATACCGATAATTTGATCACTGTTATGGCCAATAACCGATATTTGCCGATACCGATATACTGACATTAATGCTTTTAAAATCAGCAGATTTTGTATAGAAGGAAAATAATTAAAGTTGAATTTACGTTCTTATGTACACACATCACACACATTTATGCTTCTGAGCTGATTTCTTTCACTGTTCACATGACTAAACATTTACACATCACCCTCCCCCACCCCACTCTCTGAAACAGGCAAACAAATGGAGACAGAATGGAAAAAATATTGGTTGTTAATATTGGCCCAGTTTTATTTATCAAACCGATATCTTTAAAAATGACTAATGTCGGTCGATACCTATATACCAACGTAGCAATTACTTGAAAAATTAGTACTGCTTTAAATACATTTTGACTGTCCTCACGGTCCTCACAGTTGTGAGAGACAGAAAAACGTCGGAAAGTCCAAGGCTACCCAAATGAGAACACTCAGTCCGGGCGGAGTAGAGCCAATCCTAGTGTGTAAGTGCCATATGTTCAATTCACTATTTATAAAGCGCCAAATCACAAGAGTCGTCTCAAGTCACTTCACATAGTAAACATTCCAATACAGGTCAGTTCATTAAGCCAATCAGTAAAAAGTTTCTTACATAAGGAACCCAGCAGGTTGCATCGAGTCACTGACTAGTGTCAGAGTCTTTACAGCAATCCTCATACTAAGCAAGCATGCAGCGACAGTGGAGAGGAAAACTCCCTTTTAACAGGAAGAAACCTCCAGAGGATCCTGGCTCAGTGTAAACAGCCATCCTCCACGACTCACTCGGCTGATATGGGAATGCCTTGTGTTACCCTTGGAAGAGCTGGCCCCAGTGGCTGGGGAGAGGGCCTCTGTTTACACTGCTTACCCCCACAACCCAACCCCAGAGAAGTGCAGGATAAATAGATGGATTTCCCGTGTTTTCATTTATTTTATTTTAAAAACGGAAACTGGTGTGTTGCTCAACAAGACAAAATGGTTATTATTCACGAAACTCTCCAAAACGGCTGTTCTGTTGGTGGCAGGAGGACAGTCTGCACTCAGCAGGGGAAGACTGTTTGCTGCAAAAAATAAAATAAATAAAAAATCATAGGAGAGCTCTTCTAGCCAGTCAGAGGCGAGAAAGGTGTGACCTTTCTAGAATGTCTTACATTTACAATATTGGTGCCTAGGGCTCAGTCAGTGGTTCGTATACTTGGGATTTAACGGTTTTTGTTCCATGTGTCTTAGTGGCTTCTGAACCGATGAGTTTGGGCTCCCCCACCTCTCCAAAGCTGACTTCGGGGGCTCAGTTTCTGCCTGGGTTCCTCATGGGTGACCCGCCTGCTCCAGCCAGCCCACAGCCCCGCCCCTTCAGCCTGACCATGCCCCTCACAGAGAACACAAGCTCAAATCAAGGTCAGCAGGAAGCTAACCTAACTGCATATCAGCTGTTGTTGTTTTTCTATCTACTCTGGCTCTTTATGATAACATTGTGCTTTTAGGAGGTGGAGGAGGTTCTGCTCTTCAGCCCATTGTTCCCACTCCAAAGGACAAGAGTGGAGCTCCACCTGTTCGCAGCATCTATGATGACCTGGTGACAGCAGGGACACCCCTCAGTGCTTACAAGCAAGTCAGTACAAGGCCAGGGCTGTGCAGAGACCTTTGAAGGGGCGGGTGCTCAAATTTAAAAAGGGGCACACAGAATAATATTTTCAAACACCATGACATAACCACAGTATACCCGGCTGAATAACAAATCATCTTTATTAGAAATTCAAAATGGAAGCGAATCATTATATACACCCTTACCACATAAGGACAATGTAAAGCAAAAGTAACTTGTTTTGGTAAATGGTCTGTATTTGTATAATGCCTTCATAGGGTTCTACAACCCCCCAAGGCACATTACAACACAATCAGTCATTCATACACACACACATTAAAGCCGGGCGTACACTGTGCGACTTTTTCACTCGCAGCGTTCAGCTTCAGCTCAAACTGTACGACTTCCTCGCAGAGCAGATCTCACGAGTCGTGTGCTCACACTGTACGACCCAGTTCTCGCATGCGACCTGACTGCTCACACTGTACGTCTGGTAGCAACACGTCGGCCCTAAAAATGTGCTAAAAATAGCCGTTTTTACTCAACACGTCAGACGTTTTTGTCTTGCCTGTTGTCCTTCGGGAGTGCTGCAGGAGGACACACAGGGATTTATGGGGGTTGGATGAGGAAAACGAAATAAAGAAAGTGAATCTGTGTTTTGTGATCAGTTTAATTTGACATGAACACGACAAACACGCTTTCTTGACAATCTTTGTGAGTAAAAAAAACGTGTAGAAACAAAAACGAACAGCGTTTTTTATTAGGGAAATAGCGGGCGACCGGCGTTGATGCAGGATTGCGCGCGCATGCGCCGTGAGCGGTTCTGATACTTTTTGGATCGCAGCTGCTCGCAGCGCCGCTTCATCAGTGCGATACCCTCACGAGGGACGAGCAAAATATTAAACACACCAGAAGTCCCTGCGACCTCACGACTGCTGATCGGCGGCTGGTCACGTGGTGTTAATCGCCTCTCGTAACCCCCTGTACACTACACGACATCGGCGCAAAACTCGCCCCGATGTCGTGGCTTCTCGCACGACTGGAAAATCGGCTCAAAAAGTGAAAAAGTCGCACAGTGTACGCCCGGCTTAACACACTGATGGTGACGAGCTATGATGTAGCCACAGCTGCTCTGGAGCGCACTGACAGAGGTGAAGCTGCTGAGCACAGGCGCCACCAGTCCCTCCGACCACCACCAGCAGGCAAAGCAGGTTAAGTGTCTTGCCCAAGGACACAACAGCATCAATCTCTGATTGAAGTCAGGATCAAACCTGCAACCTTCCGATTACTGGGCAACCTGCTCCACCTCCTGATCTATTGCTGTCCTATTTTACCTGATGATGGGGTACAATGTAGCTGTTGCAGGGTAGCTCCTCTTGCTGCTGCTGATGATGCTGGAGGGCAAGGCTGTGTTGATCTCAGACTGTAGGTAGTAAAACGAACAGAGGAGAAATGCTAGTCAATTACAAAATTAATGTAAGATAATAAAAAATGGCGAAAATTGGTGAAAACTCTTAGAACTGTAAGACAGAAATATCTGAGACAAAACCTGTGGTAAATAAATGGAAATCTGAACATTAGTTTATTTATTTATTTATTTATTTATCTCAAACCATCGAAAACATGAAATTGCATATGCACTCCCCCATATTCCTGGTGCATACAAAATTTTTATTTTTTTTTTAAATGAGGAATACGATAAACATATGCTGTTGAATGAAACAATACAAAACATACAATAACATAAAACCATTTGAGAGGGAACTGGAAGAAGCAAAAGCTTATCTAGTCCAGCCCCAATTCAGTTAATAAATCACATTTGCTCACATTAACAAATTTGAAAGAAAAAAAAAATTTTCTTTATGCAGGTCGTTCTATCTTCACCTTGCTATTTGCTACATAAAAAGACAGTTACAAAACAATTGTTCACATGAATCTACAGAAAAAGAAAACAAAACCAATAAACAACAAAAACAAAATATTCCATTTGAAGCCAATTACCATTTTTATCACTTGCTATTTATGTATGAGTCAATTATAAGTTGTTTATACAACATTTTAAATGATCTAATGTTTTTACATAATTTTAAAGTCACATCAAGTTTGTTCCACAGTTTGATACCACATACAGATACACACATACTTTTCATAGTTGTTCGGTATAATGGAAAAATGAAGTTTTTAACGCCTCTCAATTCATAACCCTCTTCATGAGTTTTAAACAACCTTTGCAAATTACACGGCAGTACACCCAGAGTTTGTGTCAGAGATAAGAATGTGACAGAAATATAAACAGAAAGAGGTGTGTGTGTGTGTGTGTGTGTGTGTGTGTGTGTGTGTGTGTGTGTGTGTGTGTGTGTGTGTGTCCAATCTCCTCATGTGATCTATCACTCTCCACTTGCTGTCCATCTGAGAACAAGGCAAAATTAGCTATTGTATGAATGAATTATGTAGTTATTCACATTTAACAGGTCTTGCACCTAATCCATGATCAAGTAGCTAACAAAAAACATTTTCTGGCATCAAAACATTGCAGTTGTGTTTATTATTGTTTCTACACTTGTTGCTGTGATGCAGCTTACCTGTACTCTTTTTTTTATCCAGCTGGTGAGGGACCCACTGCCTTTAGCTGCCTCACGTAGCTCTTTCTGTCGCTGCATCCGCCTCCTCTCCTTACGAGGCATGTCTGTACAATGATATATCATAATTAATTTACAAATATTTTTTCATGCATATAAAACTCAGGCATACACATACTGGGACATTTCATTCCTTTTCCAGAAAACTAACTGTATATAATTTGGCCACAAATTTGCTTCATGATGCTGATCCAGAATATTTCCATACTATTTTAATCATAGTGCTTTAGTAATTATAATAAAAATAAAGAATAAAACAATGTTTATGCTTTCATTCAGTTTTACTATCTACTTTGTGCAAAACAGAGAACTGTACAGATAAAATAATTTTGCTGTGAAAACAGTAGTTTTTTTTTAAATGTACATCTTTAAAACGTAATGTTTTTTAATACAATGCATTCAAAAAGAGAGCAAATTTAAACTCCAACATTTTGAGAATATGCATAGTATTAGTGAGCTATAAAACCCACCAGAAGGGCTGAGAAACCTTAAAATCTAAAACAAAACTATGTTCCCTAAAACGCTGGACAGAATTTACAGACAAGGACTGAATATTTTGTAACACAAAACTTGTGACGGATGTTACCTTTAGTATTTTTCTTATTTTCTTTCACAAAAGGTAGCTAAATTTAAAATTTGTTCAAGTTTTATCAGTCCGCGAACCAGGAAGTGATTCTGTAAACAAGAAGCAGGACTGTGTGAGACCCCAGTCACGTGACACGCAGCAGCAATAGGAATGCAACTTTGCAGTACCTAGTTAACAACAACAACATTTTATTGGCAAATTCCCAATATTTAAGATTGAAAAAATATTTTCGTACAAGTACTTATGTACAGAATGTTTTTGGTTAATCGTAAAGCTACTGAGGTTCAGAATCGGTACCCAGCCACAGACACACACCCAGCTAGTAATATATCACACACACACACACCTAGTGCCACAAAACAACTTAATAATGTACAAAATAATCTAATAACTTTGTATAGTGGTGTGCATCCTACTTACCGGTGTTAGTCCATTTCTCGCAATCAATATGTATGTCCTAAAAGCTCTGCACCACTCGCTCGGCCATGAAGAAAACGTGGGTGCTCGCAGCTTGTTGTAACCGGCTGTGCGCTCTGGCGTGAGGAAGAGACGGTATGGTCACGTGACTCACGCCAGCTATATAAATTTATTAAACAGAAATTTTACTAATTATTATTTTTGTTATTGTTGAGGGGGCACAAACAGAAAATTCTTTATATATATATATATATATATATATATATATATATATATATATATATATATATATATATATATATATATATCATTAAACCTCAAAAAGGACACTTTGGGCACATGGGACAAAAGGGGCAGGGTCTCAAGCCCCCACCCCCCCACCCCCACCCCCCTGCACGTGCCTGTACAAGGCAGATGAGCGTATGTTTCAGGTGTAGCTGGCTGATTTGACATCATGTGTAACAATGGCAGACTACCTTGGTCTGTTCAAGATGGAGCCGGTGTGCTTGGCTGGCCGTCTTCCTCTGCTTGTGTTGTTAATATTTTGCTGTTTTATGTGCCACGTTGTGGACTCTCTGCCGGTGTACGATTGCCATACGCTTATCGACCTTCGTTTTTCTGCTGGGAATACTTTTGATGAAGTTGGACCGGATAACTTGTCACCGCTGTAGGCCAGGATTCCAGCATATCTGTGCTGTTGTAACGTCCACAAATGGTCAGTTTTTAGGTACTGTTTGACCATTCAACATCTGGTCAAGAAGGAGACACGAGACTGCACGTGTTCCCTTTAAATCAGCCTGCCGTCATCTCACCAGCTGGAGCTCAGAGCCTGCAGCTCTGACAGAGATAACGAAATCATAACATTGACATCCTGTTCTTTCCAAGGTCCCTCACAGAGCACTCCTTTTTAGTCTCCTTGCTCACAGAAGAACAGAAGATTTTTAAAATTAAATATGAACTTCTGAAATTTACAAGCTAGATAATCATTGAATAAACGTTTGTTTATTGCTACTTATAATAATTATAAAATAATGAAATGTTCATTAATCTGTGCTCGATGAAATGTTTCAGCATGTTTACTTGACAAGGTCATAACATTTGCACTCACACAAGAACAAAGTAAGGTAAAGTTAAGTCCATGGCACATAGTTAGCCTTTACCCCAGATCAGAACTTCCGGATCAAAGAAGGCGTGTGTCTGAGATTCTTGGTAACATTCCTTAAACTTGTCAACCTCTGGTTGGCTACACAATCATAACATGAGAACGTTAAAACCAGATCACTCTGGTGATTCTTCAGTTCTAGAGAAGCTTCAGACTGGCCACCTGAAGCAACACCCTCTTTAACCCACCAAAGCTTTTGACACGTTGTCAAAACCTTTCTCTTTTTGCACCTGCGAAGCTGATACAACAAGATAGTTCCTGCAGAACAAGCTGATTTGTTCAACTCCTTAAGAGTTATTCCTGAGACGCAAACTAGTTCCAACTGTTGTTACCTGGAGATGACTCTGGACTGACCTTATCATACTGCAGTTAATCTACGGACTTTGGTACCTGGGGGTCTCTGACCCCCCCCCCCCCCCACACACACACACACACACACACACACACGCACACACACCCACACCCCAACATCTCTGATCCTAAAAGGGTGTCTCCACTTGGGTACGTAGAACACAGTGAGATTGTGTCTGGATGTGGTTTTTGATAATAATCAACTCATAGCTTAATGCAAACCAAATTCTTTTACATCCAGAACTCAGCTCTCCTAGATAAGGAAGTTCTGACTAACATTGCATTCACACATAGGTTCATGCATCACGTCTAGTTCCATCCATCACAGTAAATGCTTAGTTAACTTGTCATGTTTTAATTGTTTGAAAATAAATTCTTACTTTTATAAACCTAACTGTTTTCTGAATCAAAACGAAGTGTGTGCAATCCCCTAATAAATAAAGATTCCTAGAATCTTCTGATCAAAGCACAATAAAGACCAGGCAGTGTGATATTCTATATTTAGATAGAGTATCACAGCTTAATGGTCATAAGTAGAGGTAATATATATAGAGCCCTTAAAGTACTCAATTGACCAAACCCCGCACTGTGCTCCGATGTAATGCAGCTAATTAGCGGCTCCTTGGCCTGCTCTTTAATGTCGGGAATTTTTCCCAAATCACTGAAAACTGCTGCTGTGCAACCCCTTCTAAAGAAGAGGAAATTAGATCCCAGTGTTCTCCTCAACAAAGCTGTGAAGCAACTGCAGCTTGTTCAGAATGCTGCTGCTGAAGAGTCTTAACAAGAACTTAGAGAACGGAGCACATCACTCCTGTTCTTAGATCCCTTCGCTGGTTACCAGTAAACCACAGAATAGATTTCAAAGTGCTCCTACTAGTTTATAAATCACTCAATGGCATGGGACCAAAATACATGTCCGATCTCATTCCTGTATATACACCCAATAGGGCTCTGAGATCCCTTGGAAACAATCAGCTGGTAGAAACTCGGGTCAAAACAAAACATGGTTGAGATGCCTTTAGTTACTATGCTGCTCAGATATGGAAGCAGCTTCCCTCGGGACCTCTTCATGGACAAGGATTTGGATATTCTCTGTATTCCTGAGACCTGAACCTCTCTGGAACGAGTGTCCAGCACTTTTTCTGAATTACTGTCTCCAGGGTGCTGCTATTTTAACTCGTCTTGGACGTCAGGACGTGGTAGTGGAACTGCAACAGTTTTTAACTCATTCACTGCCATTGACGACAAAAGTCATCATTCTAAATACAACCGTTCACTGCCATTGATGACTAAAGTCATCATTTGCATTTTTTTTCTGTGGGTATCGGAACGAGCCCCCACACTGTGAGAACAAACATCCCAGCTCTAAAGCCGATCTTCATCCACGTACGCCACACGTCGCTTTGATCAAGAAGCAGAAAATCCATGTGTTAGGAGAGCGTTTTGGGCCGCTGCTGTTAAAAAAAAAGTGAGGCGTGAACCAGAAAAGCTTCTGCCGATCACAATTCGACACCGGATTATGAAAGAACGGATAACGCTCGAAACACGCAGATTCTTCCTGATGTAAGAGGTGAGTCTCCGCTTTGTTTTGGTTGTTTTGGCGTTGACATCATCCTAGCGTGCAACGTTCTGTGACTCTTAAAAAAACAGTAAAATGCTGGCAACAAAGGACTTTACTGATCAAGAAACGGCTGGCAGTTAACAAGTTAAGGACTCTTTTAAAAGTGACTTCACCCTTGCCTGTCTCTCAGCAGTTTTGAATTTCATCTGTTTGAACTTGGTCTTAATGACCCTGTGCTGTGCATGGTGGTTTACCATCCACCCGGGTACAACAAGAAATTTCTTGCAGAGTTTGCTGGGCTTTTGGCACATGGACATGCAAGTTAGAGTTATTAACCCTTCAACTGCTGCTTGTTTCTCTACTGTCTTTGATGATGTTCCTACACCTCTTAGTTCTACCTTATTGGATGTGAATGCACTAAGCTCCTGGCTCCATGCTACCTGCAGCAGTGTCTTGGATTCTGTCGCTCCACTGAAGCCTAGGCTTTCCAGGACATGATCAGAGCCATAACTGAATGACTAATACAAGTTTATTAAGGCGGAAATGTCGACTAGCAGAAAGGATGTGGAAGAAGGATAGGTTACTGAGCTCTTTTCAGGTGTTAAGAAACTGTCTTTGTGACTATCAGGAGGCTGTGAGAGATGCTAGGAGGGTGCATTTCACAAACACTCTCACAGGCCACGGATGCTTTTTAATGTAATTGATAATCTCAATATTTACCAACCAGTGGGTATTGAGCCCCCTGTGATGTCATGCAAAGCATTTTTGAGGTTTTTTGTGGACAAAATGGTCAATATCAGAGCTCAGATTCTGTCAGTCCCCTGTGAGACTTTTTCTGGTGCCTGTTCAGCTACTTTTAGTCAGTTTGAGCTGCTTACGTTGGACTGCTTTTGGGATTTTGTTAACTCTTTAAAACCTGTTGGTTCTCCCTTGGATTTGATGACCCCTAGGCTTTTAAAATAAGTTTTCTCATCAGTTGGTCCTTGGGTTCTTGCTATTATTAATCAGAGCATTGTCTCTGGAGTAGTGTCAGAGAACTGGAAACATGCGGTTGTTCAGCCTTTACTGAAGAAGCCTGGACTCGACTCATCTGCCTTGTCCAGTTATTGACCCATCTCCAGACTTCCTTTTATTTCTAAAGTACTGGAGAGGGTAATTCACTCACAGTTGACTGAGTATTTGATGGGAAATTACATTTTGAATAAATTCCTGACTGGTTTTAAGCCAGTCCACAGTACCGAATCGGCAATGCTCCGGGTTTTTAATGACATTTTATTGGCCACTGATTCTGGAGACTTTAATATTTGTATTGTTGGACCTGTCGGCTGCATTCGATACTGTGGATCATTCTCTCGTGATTTCTAGGATGGAACACTTTGTGGGTGTTCGCAGGGTCGTGCTGGACTGGTTTGTGTCATACCAGGCTGACAGAACCTTCAGTGTCTCATTAAGGACTTTTACTTCCTCTAATGCTTCTGTTGTGGGGTTCCCCAGGGTTCTGTGTTGGGTCCATTGTTGTTTTCTTTGTATCTGCTACCTCTTGGTTTGATTTTTAAGAAACACGGGTGTCATTTTCGCTGCTATGCAGATGATACCTAGGTATACGTGCCTTTTAGAGGGGCGACAATAATGCTTTGCTGTCTCTTTTAGATTGTCTTGTTGAGGTTAAGCAATGGATGTTCTCTAACTTCCTTCTTTTTAATGATAAAAGACAGATGTTGTAGTTTTTGGTCCGAGTGCTTCCAATAGGGTGGGTGTGGTTGATTTTGGTCTGCTCGCCCCATTCTTGAAACTGAGTGTGACTTCCCTGGGTGTTGTACTGGATGAGGATCTTGTCTTGGACAGGCAGATCAGTGCTGTGACTTAATTTAGATTATATCAATTAAGAAGGATCACCAAGTTAGATAAGTTGCTGTCTAAAAAGGATTTTGAAATGGCAATTCATGCATTTATTACATTAAGGCTTGATTACTGTAATAACTTGTACTTTGGTGTTTCACAATCCCACTTCTCGCATCTTCAGTTGGTGCAGAATGCTGCTGCATGGCTGCTTACTGGGATGAAAAAGATGGAGCACGTTGCTCCTGTCTTGGTCTCAATGCACAAAAATTAACAATCAATGATGAACAAGAGTCTGCTTCTAGACCTGCAGAAAGAGAAAAACAAACAAAATAAAGGGACACACAACAATACAACAAGAGCAAGCCATCACTGCATCAACCTAATGAGGGGAAAACAAATCAACATTGTTTTACTCTTAATAACATATAAGATCATGTTTCATCAGTTTCTTCATTATCTCAGTTGATATGACCTTAAATCACCATTTATAATCAGTTGTCCTGTATCATCATTAGTATATATATATATATATATATATATATATATATATATATATATATATATATATATATATATATATATATATATATACATATATATATATATACATATTTATATAAAAAATGTATATGTTATATAAATGTGTGTTATTATAGTGTTGTTCCCTGACGTACCCAAATTATCTAGTTATATCGTCAATCAAACATTAAAGGTTCAATAATGTTGATAATCAATATTTGTATGGAATATTACATTTTATTGAATACTTTTTATATTATGCTGACAATTTATTTAAAGTAAACACTTAAAAACTTTACAACCGGTTAAAATGAAAGAAAACTTGATTTTATTGAGTTAATGTGCATCTATTTCCATAATTTGAAAAATTACCTAAAAGCTTTGAAGTAATGAGGCTTTTATTAGTTTGGGATGTGGCCTTCAGAGACGTATGTTCTGACAGCAGTTCTTTGCCTCACCTTCAGGTCGGCTCTCCATCGTTGTTGAAGCCCCAGGTGTTAATTTACAGTCTCAGAAGTGTATTGCTGTCAACAGAATGAAGCCTGAACTAGAACACGGATGTGTTAGAACATATAACATATGGTTAAAGCATCTCATTTGTGCTAACAGTGTTTAAATTAAGCGTGAATGGCTTTGTGTGATGAGGAATGTTTTTTGTTTTTCTTCAGTCTTTTCCAGGTGTCCAGTCTCCGCTGTGTGCCCGTCAGGCCTCAACTCCAGGAACAGGTACCACCAACACTGCTTCTGCTGCTGGCTCCACAGTTAGCACCATTTAGTTTAGACGCAACTGTAGTGGTAGCAACAGTAGTTTTAATTTAGCTAACAAGTATTTTCAGGGTTGTTTTGTGACAAATACATTTTTGCAAATGAAATGGATACTTACATTTATATACCTGTAAATACTAAATTATTAGGAATATTGAACAACATTTTCGTCGATGAATAAAATACGACAACAAAAATATGTGAGAACAGAAAAAAGAACCAATCAGAAGCCAGAGCTTACTGCTATTGAACAAGCTACCGGTAACCACAGACATCATATACTGATGCCTATGCTGGTAACAGTGGAACAATTTATGTTAAAAACGAGAAAATGTCCACGTCTGGTAGGAAAAGAAGTTTATATGACCATCTGAAAAGTATTTGCTTAGTGGGTACACTGCAGGGTAGGTCATTTCTGTGGATACGCCTTAATAAAACGTGAATGGTTGGTGATATTAACGTCCTGTTTGTGGCACATTAGTATATGTGAGAGGTCAAACTTTTCAAGATGGGCGGTGACCATGGTGGCCATTTTGAAGTCGGCCATCTTGGATCCCACTTTGTTTTCCCAATAGGAAGAGGGTCATGTGACACATCAAACTTGTTGGTAATTTCACAAGAAAAACAAAAGTGTGCTTGGTTTTAACGTAACTTTATTCTTTCATGAGTTATTCACAATTTTCTGACCACTTATAAAATGGGTTTAATGTGCTGACCGTTGTGTTGGATTGTCAATGCACCTAGGGCTGTCGTGGTTGAGGAATTCCGCCTGCGGGGAGTCAGGTCAGCTCAATATTGCGGTATCTGATATTTTTGCAGCACTTTTTTTAAGTCTTATTTAGAGTAGAAGGAGTCACCGCTCGTCTAGGTAAGGTGCTGGATCAAAATTCCGGATTGGATTCCGGAACTGCGCTGCTCTGGGTGGCTGCATGTTGGAGTAGCTCTGTTTACTATACAATTCAATTCAAATCCAAAAATACTTTATTAATCCCAGACGGATATTGATTGCTGTAGTAGCTCAGAATAATAATAATAATAATTAAGTCGTCAAAGAGTTATTGTATATTACAATGGCTGTTGGCAGGAAGGATCTCCAGTAGCGGTCAGTGTTGCAGCAAAACTGAAGAAGCCTCTGACTGAAGACACTCTTCCGTTGTCAGACAGTCTTGTGAAGAGAACGCTCAGGGTTGTCCATCATTTTCTTGATTCTCTGGAGAATCCTTCTTTGCATTATCTCCTCCAGTGGTTCCACAGTCGTCCCCAGAACAGAACCAGCCTTTTTTATTAGGCTGTTGAGCTTTTTCAGGTCCCTGCTTCTCATGCTGCTACCCCAACAGACGATGGCTGAAGAGATTACACTTTCAACAACAGACTTGTAGAAGATCTGCAGCATCTTGCTACAGACATTGAAGGACCCAGTGTTTCCCTTAGGAATTTTTCCAGCTGTGGTGGTGTTGGCGGGGGGGGGGTTAACGACACGTCTCACCTTTATGTTAATATTGTTTTATTTGATGCACTCCACTTTGAACTGCACCAATCCAGCAACTGCTGCATTGTAATAACTAGTATTAAAGGTGAATACACCAGTATTTGCACAATAATAATTTCTGTTTTAAACTCTCAGTGACACACTTTGCAGGGTGGATTTGGCATTTAATTTTTCTTGGCGTCTGGAAAAACATCTTCTTTTGCCCCCTTTATTTGACTTTCTGCCCCCTTTATTTTGGTCCAAGATCATTACTGGGCTGGCCTTATTAAAAACGTTCTACACCCCTGCTTAGTAGACTTAATGGAGTATTTTTAAGCCAGTATAAAAATGACTGAAACACAAATTTACATATTTGGCATTATTGACCAATATTTTTGATTTGATTTATTTGTTAAGAACATCAAGATGCATTACAGTGAACATTATAATAAGCTGGGCGGACACTTTGCGACTTTTTCACTCGTAACACAGCTTCAGCTCAAACTGTACGACTTCAGCGCAGGGCAGATCTCACGAGTCATGTGCTCACTGTACGTCTGGTAGCAACACGTCGGACCTAAAATATGCTAAAAATAGCAGTTTTTACACAACACGTCAGACTTTTTTGTCTTGTTTTGCCTGTTTTCCTTCGGGAGTGCTGCAGGAGGACTCACAGGGATTTATGGGGGTTGGATGAGGAAACGAAATAAAGAAAGTAAATCTGTGTTTTGTGATCAGTTTAATTTGACATGAACACGACAAACACGCTTTCTTGACAATCTTTGTGAGTAAAAAAAAACGTGTAGAAATAAAAACGAACAACGTGTGTTATTGGGGAAATAGCGGGCGAGCGGAGTTGATGCATGACTGCGAATACGCCGTGAGCGGTTCTGATACTTTTTGGGTCGCAGCTGCTCGCTGCGCCGCTTCAACCCTCATGAGGAACGAGATAAATATCAAACACTCCAGAAGTCCGTGCGAGCCATAGACTGTGCGAGCTCACGATTGCTGATCGGTAGCTGGTCACGTGGTGTTAATCGCCTCTCGTAACCCCCAGTACACTACACGACGCTCGGCGCAAAACTCGCCCCGATCTTGTGGATTCTCGCACGAGTGGAAAATCTGCTCAAAAAAGTGAAAAAGTCGCACAGTGCACGCCCGGCTTACTGTGTGCGTGTGTGCGTTGATGCCTGGGCCGAGCTGGCGGAGCTCCCGGCTGCAGTTTTGCGTGTAGGGAGGGGCGGGCGCTCTATCTGACTGGCCAATCACAGAGCTTGAAGACAGTCAGTTACCCAATGAGAATTTCATTCAGCACGATTACAGATATTTCCGAGTTTTACACTCGTTTCTTGCTCGTATTCGTCAAAAATGCTTTATCTGTACGCTCATAGCTGTAACCACCCTGCCGAGCCTCCTCCTCCTTGCTACCTGCCGGCTGTGATCACAAGCAACAACAGAGTAGTTCCTGCTGCTTCTTTGGGAAACGGCGCAAAAAAAAAAAAAAAACATCAATAAAACTTGGGATGTTGTAGGCGTGGCGGTGGGATTTCAGCCGTGGCGGCCCGCCACGGCTACGCCTATGTAAGGGAAACCCTGGAAGGACCTAAGGATCCTCAAGAAGTGCAGTCTGCTGCGTCCCTTCTTGTAAACGGCTTGGCTGTTCTTTCTCCAGTCCAGTCTGTTGTCCAGGTGAACTCCAAGGTATTTGTATTCCTCAACCACCTCCACTTCTTCTCCCATGATGGAAACAGTGTTTGACTCCACCCTGTTTCTTCTGAAGTCTGAAATCATCTTTGTTTTTTTCACTTTTAAGGTCAGATAATTGTTTCCACACTAGGGGTTGTATGAACTAGTCGACTAGTCGACTTCACTGCTCTGTAGTGACTTTTTATGCCTGTCATCGACTGTCACGTGATAATGACCGACAAGATGCAGTCCTCGGAAAAGACAGCAGGTGACGAGCCCATGCGCGTCGGGAGGCGGAGGCGACACGTTGTGCCAGAGCGTCGGTACTGACACCTGCCATAAAACGAACATTTAACCAAATTGTGACCTTTACCCTCTTGCAATTTAACCTTCCCCTCACCCCCATCCTAATCTTAACCAGCTTGTTTATGCAAAGCTCTGATCGTTGATGCGCTCCAGACATCTGCGTCCTGAGCATGGCCACAGTAACATTATCAAATCAGGTGTCGCCACCTCAAAAACAAATTTAACACACGATCGTTCATGTCGGCTCATTTCCTTTTATGTTTTCTGTCATTTATTTGTGCCTGATGCGTTTCGCTGCTGTGGAGCGGGGCGCATCACCTGTTTTGTCCTCCGGTGATGCACCTCACTAATGCGGCCGGCGAGCAGCGCGCACTCCGCTGTTTTTGCGGTCGGTAGATCTTTTAGAACTGCAGTTCAAAGGCAACTCATAAGGTGAATATATATGAATCCATGTAGCAGTTTCTCTTTAGGACTGAGAGGACATGCAGGAAGATAATAAACAGAGACAGGACAGAAAAATAGTCAAATAAAAACAAATTTGTTTTTGTACCTGGTGGTTGCAACAAACGGACACCATTGAAGGTAATCAGAAGTGAGGAACAGAAAATGAAATGGTTATTTTAATGTTTAGAGCAGCAGGAACTCTGAGAGGCTGCAGGCGCGTCAGTGAGTTTGCGGCCGTTGCACAGGGGGAGGGGGGAGAGGGCTGAAGCAAGATGCAGAAACTACCGTTGTTAACAGAGACGTGTTTAACTTTGAAAATGTGGGCACAATTTTAATTGTCAAAAACTCCAGCGGACCAATCCCCCCCCCCCCCCCCCCCCCCCCCCGCGCGCACACCGCTTCAGGTGTATGACATCATCAATGACTAGTCAAAGTCGACTCGATTTTCATTACTTGACCGTCGACTTTAAAAAAATAAAGTCATGCAACCCCTATTCCACACCATGCCACAAAGCGCTTCACCAGCTCTCTGTACTCAGCTGCCTGTCCATCTCTGATACACCAGACAACTGCAGTCATCTGAGTATTTCTGTAGATGACAGGTCTCTGATTTGTACTGGAAGTCTGAGGTGTACAGGGTGAAAAGGAATGGTGGGAGTACAGTCCCCTGTGGTGCTCCAATGTTACTGATCGCCTGGTTTGATGTGCAGTTCTTCAGCCTCACAAACTGTGGTCTGTTTTTCAGGTAGTCTTTAATCCAGGCGATAGTTGAGGCCCCCACCTGTGTCCTCTGGAGTTTCTGGCAAAGTACATCAGGCTGAATTGTGTTAAATGCACTGGAGAAATCAAAGAACATGACCCTCACAGTGCTGCCTGCTTTGTCCAGATGACAGTGGATTGGTTGAAGCAGCAGGATGATGGCATCTTCAACTCCAACTCCATGGCGATAAGCAAACTGTAGCGGGTCCAGATATGTCCTAGTTTGCTTATTCAGGTGGACCAACAAGAGTCTCTCCTGGACCTTCATGATGTGGGATGTCAGGGCAACCGGTCTGTAGTCATCATTAACTGATGGGCGAGTTTTCTTTGGAACTGGAACAAGGCAGGATGTCTTCCACAGGACTGGAACCTTCTCCTGGGCCAGGCTGAGGTTAAAGAGGTGCTGCAGAATCCCACAGAGCTGCTCTGCACAGGCATTCAGTACTCTGGGGCTGACACCATCTGGACCAGCAGCCTTGTTCCTGTTCAGTCTCTCCAGCTGCCTCTTCACCTGACTTCTAGAGACAGATAGGTGGGAGGGGAGGTAAATGGGGCAGCAGCATCTCCTGACTTGGTTGAAGACAGATTTATAGAACCAGAAGAGTCCATGACTGCGTTAGAGGACAAAAGAGCTGGCGTGTGACAGGAAAATGTTGGATCAGAGGAGGATTGGATTGAAGAACTTGTTCAGTTCATTGGCTGTATCCAGGCTGTCATCTGTGCAATCCTTCCTCTGCTTGAATCCTGTGATCTTTTTCATCCCTGACCAGACATCTCTGATATTGTTCCTCTGTAGTTTGTTCTCCAGCTTCTTCCTGTATGCCTCCTTGCTGTCTCTGATTTTGATCTTCAGTTGCTTCTGTATACTCCTCAATAATTCCCTGTCTCCCTCCTTGAAGGCTCTTTTTTTCTCATTTAGCAGATTCTTCAGTTCATTGGTGATCCAGGGTTTGTTATTAGCGAAGCATCTCACTGTTCTGGTGGGTATGATGTAGTCCACACAGAAGTTTATATAGTCAGTGACACATCCAGTCATGGCATTGATGTCCTCTTCATATTCTTGGCCGAGAGTCATCCAATCTGTGGTCTCAAAACAACCCTGCAGGGCTTCTTCAGCGTCCTGTGACCATTTTCTCACAGTTCTTCTTGTCACAGGTTGCCTCTGAACAAGTGGTTTGTATTCTTAGCAGAGAAAAACAAGATTGTGATCTGATTGTCCCAGAGGAGGTCTTGTTTTGGACATGTATGCATTCTTTACATTTGCATAACACAAATCCAATGTCTTGTTTTCTCTGGTGGAGCAGCTGACAAACTGTTGAAATGTTGGAAGTTTAGCAGAGAGCGAGGCATGATTAAAAGGTGGAATTTAAACAGTTGTCAAGACAACACTGGTGAACTCTCTTGGCAAATAATATGGGCGACAACTTACTGACAAGAATTCAACATCTGGGCTGCAGAGATGACATTTCACCGAAACATGACCTGGATGGCACCATCTGTTGTTGACTAGCACTGCCACTCCACCTCCTTTTCTTTTCCCTCTCCTCTTCAGATCTCTGTCTGCTCGTACAGTCAGGAATCCTGGCAGAGTGACGCTGGAATTGGGGATATGGTCCTGCAGCCACGTCTCAGTGAAACACATTACACTGCAATGCCGATACTCTGGCTGAGTCCTTGAAAGGGCTTGGAGTTCATCCATCTTGCTGGCCAGTTATCCCACATTGCCCATTATGATCGATGGAGGAGATGGTTTGAATTTCCTCTTTCTCCGTCTCCATTTTGCTCCCACTCTGCACCTATGCTTCTTGCGTTTTAGCTCATTTGGGATTTGTGGCTTCATTTGAGGTATTATTTCAGTCTTTCAGTCAGCTGCTCCCGATTGTAAACCAGACTGTTGCCATGGTTACACATCATAACAAATGCTCAATAACTGAAAAAAGTGAAAAAATAGCAGTAAAAATCCTCTAATCTTCACAGCACCAGAAACAGAAAAGTAAAATATCCAAAAAATACCGTTTGTCTTGAGAAACTAGAATCCAGTCCAATCCAATTGTATTTATAAAGCACATTCACAAGGCATTACAACCAAACAAGGCACTGGAGAAAAAATGTCCAGAAATAATACACATAAAAGAGCAACCAGAGACTCTGAGTCATTACAGTATAATCCCTGATATGAGCCAACACTGTTGGACTCCAGCCATGTTTGCCCTTATAACTAATAACTCCACCGTGCATGACCCATGTTACCTTCAGTAGATGCAATTACATCATCATACATTTAGTTTAATATGATAGTTGATTTTTCTCTGGACAAGAAATAAAAGATATGGCCACCTCTAGATGAAATCTAAATAATTTTACATGAATTATAAATATTTAATTAAAAAGTGCCAGAGGGACATTTGATGCACCTCTAGCTCTCGTGTGTGTGTGTGTGTGTGTGTGTGTGTGTGTGTGTGTGTGTGTGTGTGTGTGTGTGTGTGTGTGTGTGTGTGTGTGTGTGTGTGTGTGTGTGTGTGTGTGTGTGTGTGTGTGTGTGTGTGTGTGTGTGTGTGTGTGTGTGTGAAAACATTTTTATGCATTATATCTACTGATTTATGTTTAATTTCTCAAGACAGCTTGAAGTGAGTTAACTTGTAAATAATTTACTGGAGGAAAAATATTGAGATATATATCGTTACCAGAATTCAGCTAATAGATATCGAGATATAAGTTTTGGTCCATATCGCCCAGCCCTACCTCATCATCATCAGAATTGTTGTCTTGATATGTTGGGTCCAGCAAGCAGGACCTTGCCAATGTTTTTTGTAGCACAGCTGGTCTGTACTTCTCCTGGAGAACACCGCACATCTTCTGCTTAATGCCCGAGGTCATTGTGTTGTCTTCGTCTGATGGTTTTAAAAGTTCTTCAGTGAGGAGTTTCAGGACAGGTTTAATGGATGAGACTGTGACATAGTTTTCGCCAGACAGCAGATCTGCAATTTCAGCCACTGGCTTTAACCCTGCGTACACCGACTCTAAAACTGCAACGTCCTACCAGCTGGGGATGAGATACTGATGCTGTCTATCATCCAGAACCCTTTTTATAGCTGGGATTTGCTCCAAGACTCAGTCCACCATCTTCTGTTAAAGCCCCATCTTGTTGGACAGTCCTGGTTAGATGGCATAATGGCACATGATTATTTAAACTGAAATTACACCTGCTTATTATTTTTAAATTAAAAACCAATATATACAATTATTTTTAGTTTCAGTTTATTTCTTTCTAAACAAAACATGTTTTTTGAGCATCACAAAAAGCCAGCTACTGCTGTTAAAGGCTGCATATTTTTTATTAGTTTCGGGCAATATAAAAAAATCATATTCATACTCAGTGTTCATATTTTTTAGCAGACTTATTGGCCTATCTGTGTTATTAAGTGGAATTTCAGTGGGTTACAATTAGATCATAAATATGACTTCTGAAAGTAAGTTTACCAATATGAGTGAGTGCTGCAGGGTTTAGAGCTCCGCTTGTGCTTTCGCCAGATCCCTCCTCTTCACCCAGCTGCGGAAGAACACACCCACTAAGGTGTGGCACAGACCCATTGCTCAGGATGTGCGATCTTCAAGCTTGTCATTGTGTTTGTCACTGCCAGGTGTAAATTATGTCCGAAGCAGTTCAGCCACGTCCAGCTCAATTTTCTCACTGCTGCGGCGATGTTTGCCCTGTTATCTGTCGCTATGCACGCCAGCTTCTTCTCATCCAGGGACCACTCATCAACTGCGCTGCGTAAAGCATCTGCGATGTTGTCAGATGTGTGATTCTGGGGCATAAACGTTGTTTCGAGGCAGCGTGGTTTAAGAGTCCAGTCTTTGGTCAGGTAATGTACAGTTAGACTCATGTAAGGAGTCATATTCACACTTGACCACATGTCAGTGGTGGCAGAGAAAACGCCCACACTTTTGAGCTCACTCTGAACTGATGCTCTAACTGTCTTTTACATTTTCGGCACAGCAGTTTTTGAGAAGTAGGTTTTCCCTGGCAACTCGTTTTGCTTGTCAAATTTCTGGAGAAGCGACTTGAATGCAGGTTTCTCCACAGTGGAAAGGGGAACCATCTCCTCCCCAGATACTGTGTAACAGCGCCTGTCAGGCGTTTGTGTCTGTCGCTGTCTCTGCTGTACTTGCCGACTCTAGCAAAGGCTTCGCCCAATCCAAGCCGCCCCGCAGGTCTGTGTGGGGGGAGGAGGAGACGGCGGCAGCCGAGCTTTAATAGCTGGATGGCAGCTAGCTAGGTGAGCCTTTAAGTAAGTTGTACTTCCTCGTTTTACTTTAACCGTTTTTGCTGCAGATTTTACAGATTGCCTCATTTAAATTGTCTGGCTCCCCCTTTTCATTTGGCTGAAAGCCAAAGTGCTCCTGAATGGGTGAAGTAACGTTTCGTTTTGATACCAGAGCAGCCATCCTTCTCAGCGTACGTCGTGGAGTTGAATCAAGTGCGGTAATGGTGGTGGCCTGTCATGCAGCGCGGTGGTTTCTTAATGGACACAGTCAGTTAAAAGTTTCCTATATAAGGAACCCAGCAAGTTGCATCGAGTCAGCGTTCGGTGCTCTAGTGGTGTTTTTGTGAGGGAAAAGAACATTCATGTAGCCCACATTGGTAAAGTAGAGCAGGGAAATTCTAATAAATATACCTGAAAACAGTTCTTACCTTTAGTTTACCTCCTCGCAGGATTAGAATAACACAATTTAATGGTATGAAGTCATTTCCTGTCACGTTTACAAGTATTACTGCACATTGTAGAGATTTGTTTACTTTATCAATACTGAGAGGCACAATTTCAAACCATCAATGCTCATTCATGTATATTTCCCATTACATTTTGTTATTAAAACAGTTATAATTATAGTTTTATTGATCCAAAGTGTGAAATGTGATATTTTTATATTCCTATAGAGTTTCGGGTAGGTGTAGTTAACATTTTGGTTACAGACACAGAAAATGTTTGCGTCAGAAGAAAAATAAATTTATTTTAATCGCCTAAATAAGACTAAAATTAAAACAAATTGAATACCAAATTGTGACTAAAATTAATAAGAATTTTAGTCAAAAGACTAAAACTAAAATTTCTTGTCAAAATGAACATTAAACAGTAGAAATGTGTTAGGATGTGTTATTGATTTACAGACTTCATGCTCCTCAGTCAGCATTAACTGTCCTGACACCTGTGCTGTGTGTAGGTGTGCAGCAGGTGTGTCTGTCTCCAGCTCAGGTGGATCCTTTCTACAGCCAGGGGGAGTCTCTGTGTTCTGAAGACCAGCTGGACCAGACCTGGGTCACCGTGTTTGGGTAACGTGTGCTCCACAGCATCTCTTATCCCCGCATCACACTGTGATTTTTGGCCATTGCACAGGATTGTTCACGTCTCACTGTGAGAACTCCAGAGGTGGCACGCTGTACGGTGCGAGATTTCAGTGAATCAGACCGCACCGCGTCCTGAGTGCACGTTCCAAAGCATATGTCACTAAGCAGACCGCTAACCAAAATAAAAACACTCAGTTCATGACCCAACTCATCTTCCTCAAAGAGGAAGCTCTTATTTTAAAACCCTCTCGGCTGCGGGTCTCCTCTTCCCGGCTTCATCTTTCTCCATAAGACGTTGACCATTTTTTGTCACGGTTCTGCTCAGGACAAGGGGTTTGGCAAAGACGGCCAAAAGTTGCAATGTGAACCTGGCTTTAGAGGTAATGTGTCAGTGTATGAGGTAGATTAATGTGTGTGTGTGTGTGTGTGTGTGTGTGTGTGTGTGTGTGTGTGTGTGTGTGTGTGTCTGTGTGTGTCTGTGTGTCTGTGTGTTAGGTTTCCTCCAGCTGCAGCCTCCTACATACTGATGCAGTTTGCTCAGTATGGAAACATCCTCAAACACAAGGTAAGTAATTCACACTCTCACACACACACACACACACACACACACACACACATTGTTTTAAATGTCATCTTCTCACTCATGATTGTCATGTTTGTGAGAAGTGTCCTTACCCAAGACATGCAGAATCAAACACTGCTGTGTGGAGCACGGACGTCACGGTGAGTTCCATTGACCTCGTAAAATATACAACTGCACATAACATGGACTTTAGATGCACCCTTACAAGTTAATCTTATAAAACAAACATGTTTCTATCACATCTACTATTGTTGTTGTATGGGGAGCCTAAGTCTCCTCCCTCTCCGGTCAGCTCATGGGTCCCCGGAAGAACGAAAAATAAATGCAAGTCAACGAAGCTAAAAACGCTATTTTCTAATCCACTTTGCCTTAGACCCTGGATCGCACATATGTTGTACTTCAATTTAAATAAAAAGTAACTATGGGTGTTGCGACCACGCCTGTCATGTACTTTGAGATTTATCAGCTTGTAAAAGTCTGTCATTTCCACCGGACGACCACACTGTCTCAGCACGAATATCAAACTGTCTCTCTGACATATCAAAATGGATGAAATCCCACCATCTCCAACTCAACCTCTCTAAAACTGAACTACTTGTCATCCCAGCAAAACCATCCATACAGCACAATATCTCAATCCAAAATGACTTCCTATCTCTGGCGCCTTTAAAGGCAGTTTGAAATCTGGGTGTTGTGATTGATGAACACCTGACCTTTAAAGATCATGTTGCCTCTGTTGCTCGTTCATGCCGCTTTGCGCTGTATAACATACGAAAGATCAGACCATACCTAACACAACATGCCACCCAACTCCTGGTGCAATCTACTGTCATCTCCCGCTTCATTCAGCCAAAAAGAGCACACGCCACCCCTCTGTTCATTGAGCTCCACTGGCTACCGCTAGCAGCACGCATCAAATTCAAATTGCTAACACTAGCATACAAAGTCCGAGATGGTACGGCTCCCATCTACCTGAATCCTCTTGCAAAGGCTTACGTCTCAGCCCGGCCGCTCCGGTCATCACATGCTCGTCGGCTAGCAGTGCCTACACCACGCTCAGGACAATCCAGACTCTTCTCATGCATCGTTCCACAAATGTGGAATGACCTTCCAAGCACTACCAGAACAGGGGCTTCCTTTTCAATTTTCAAGAAACTACTGAAGACCCTGCTCTTCAGAGAGCATCTTCTAAACTAGCACCCCCCCCCCACCACCACCACCACCCACCGTCCACTCCTTTGTTCCCTACTCTCCATGATTGATGTCAAGTTGTTGTTGTTATTGTTGTTGTTGTTAGGCTCAAGGGCAACATGCCGATTATCACTTGTAAGTCGCTTTGGACAAAAGCGTCTGCTAAATACATAAACATAATTATCATGACTACACACCAGAAATCGGCTCGTCGCATACGTGACGTTACCTCATAAGCTCCTCCCCCCATAGCATAGCTGCTACTTACCACATGACCAGATTTTTGATGGTTCTTTCCTCCTGTGGGAAGTTTGCTGAACTTACAGCCATTTTCCCTCAGTTTTCTCCGTGTCTGGTTCGATGACGTCACTTTCGTGAAGCGTTTTTGTAGTCCTGGACTTATTTTTACACAAAACCTAAAATAGTGATTCCCCTGTTAGAAAATAAGAGTGTTCTTGGTATCAAAATGTGTCTTTAAAGGGGCATTATGGAAGTTTGACAGCCAAAACATGTATAGAAATATTAAAGTTCTTCTTCATACATTCTCCTGCAATGCCCTGGTCCTGTAGAATGAGCCCTGGCATTTCTACTGTGATTACCTGTTTTTTCTGTAAAATCACAGAAAAAGAGAGCTGCTCGGGTCGAGCAGGCTGCTTCATGCGCGTTCACGCTCAGGCATAGCCCGTAACATTTGCTATCAGTAGCTTTAGCAGCAGAGAGAGAGGTAGTGCCAACTCAGCGACTTTGTTGCTGTTCCTAACGCCTAGTGACAAAGCTAGCTACATTTCTGAGGACCCTTAGCTACTTTCTGTAGAACTTTCTTCTAGATATTTCCTGCAAATTAGCAACAAAATAACCATTTTCGCTTCAAACCGCTCTTTGGTTTGACGTTGTTTCAGCTGTCATCTATGATATAAAAGTTACATATACTGTGAATGTTACTAGAGTGTAGCTCACCTAGTAAGATGTCTGACTCCCATGCAGAAGACCTGGGTTTGATTCTGGATGTGAACATGGTTCATTTAGAGTTTCTTTTTTACATTAATGGTATATTTATTTACAGTAAGATGCCCAAATTTTTTATTTGAGACTCTCCAAACAGCATTGAATTCACAGATAAAAAAGATGTGGGTTCAACTTTCATTTTGGAACAATTTTTCAAGCGAGGGAAGGGAATGATCTGAGCATGCAGGAGGACTGACCCATCATAAACCTTTGTTGGCTGTGCTGAAGAGAAAGGTACAGAACCAAATTATTTAATTAATTAGCTTTGTGTTCTCCTGTTCTCCGGGCCACACAGACACACACGGGACTGTCTCAGCTGTTATTTTTGTTAAGGAGTGTGCACGTACAGCATGCACGCTTTGTGCACAAGCCTACTATTGAAGCTGCCGTTACGCTTTTGGCCTGAGGGGGCAATCGCGAGCATAAAAATTCAAAAGTCCGTAAAGTCCCTTTAAAAATCACGGATATCATATGTGAAATCCATGGCACAAAACAAGCGGACTTAGAAAATAGCATTTTTAGCCCCTTTGACTTGGATTCATTTGTTCGTTCTTCTAGGGACCCATGGTGTGGAAGTAGGTGGACTTGGCTTAGGCTCTCTATTGTCACAACGAGCTGCTACATTGAACCTCACAGTTGGATTAAAAAACATTTTCTGACTCTGGGGGTTGTTCCAGTTAATTATTTCTACTCAGAAGTTGGGATTTCCAAGTATGGGTTAAACTGGAACAAACTCATTTCAAAAACGCTGCTCTCCTGATAATAACATTTGAAATTGAATGGGCTACTACTAGTTTACCCGTTTAAGTATAGATTCACTAGGATAAATACAATAAAGTTTAGAATAATACTTCTCTTAAAGCGTGGTTTATCTAGTAAACATCGGCGTGATCTTCCGCGTTCCTGCCAGGCCGCGTTGCGGCGCGGTTTCTCCGTCCAAGTTTTTTAAGGTCGGTTTATCCTCATTCCTCAGTGGTTTCTCCTCCTGTTCCCTCCATAAGTGGTTTTTACAAACACCGTGGATCTAACCCTGCTAATTTACGTCCACTAACTTCAGCTGTTTCTGTAGTTTCTGATTCCTCCACCTCACTCAGCATGGCTCTATTAAACACCCGCTCTGTTAACAATAAGTGCTTCCTGCTCAGTGATTTAATTCTCTCTAAAAACCTGGATTTTCTGTTTCTGACTGAAGTTCGGCAGCAAACATCTGATTATTCTGGTCTGATTGAACTCTGCCCGAGTGGTTATTCTTTTCTTAGCCAGCCCTGGGGTTCTGGTCGTGGTGGAGGCCCAGCTGTTGTTTTCAGAGACCATCTTCCATGTAGCTCTACAACCTCTGGTCACTTTGCTTCCTTTGAACTGCAGCTGATTAAAGTCGGGCGTAAGGACCCGTTCTACTGTGCTGTGGTCTATCGTCCACCTGGTCCAAACAGTTCTTTCCTTCAGGAGTTTAGTGACTTTCTTTCCTCCACTGTGAAACTGTCCAGACTGGTGATTGTTGGTGACTTTAACATCCACATTGATGATCCCTCTGATCAATTTGCCATGAATTTCTCCAGCCTTATGGACACCTTTGGCTTTACCCAGCATGTTTCTGGCCCCACACACACCGGGGGCACACTCTTGACCTTGTTTTTACCCTGGGTCTAAATGCTGACAGTTTTTGTCCTGAGGATGTTTAGATTTCAGATCACCATTGCATTTTCTTTAACTTGTCAGTTCCTTCGTCCCCACCTCCTGCTCGTCGTATGGTTATTTAATTTTCATTTCATTTCATTCATTTATAAAGCCCCTTCTGCGACCAATGCAGACGCCCAAGGTGCTGAACGCAACACAACACAATAAAAATATAAAACCATCAGAATAAAATATAACAATCGTAAAACCAGCATAAAATCAATTAAAAGAGGAGAGTAAAAGAAAAAAAATAAAGACAAAGATTAAGAGGCCGGGGCATCGAAACTGGGTAAAATTTGCTAAACCTGAAAAGCCTTGACAAAAAAAAGGGTCTTAAGGCGAGTCTTAAAAACCCCCAATGAGGGTGACTGACGCACCACCAAAGCCAACTGGTTCCAAAATGCAGGTGCCAACGCAGAGAACGCACGGTCCCCCCGTGACCTGCACTTAGTGCGTGGAACGATCAACATTGTCACAACGTTAGTTCTCTTTTTTTTAATGAGAGCACAACTAGCAATTTTTCTGCTGCTTTTGATCCACCCTGTTCTTCTGATAACGACCCAGATTCCTTAACTTCTCAGTTTAACGAGCACTGCCTCTCCATTCTGGACAACATCTGTCCTGTCAGAACCAGATCAGTCCCTGCAGTGAACCCTACTCCCTGGTTTAATGACAGTCTTCGCAGCCTGAAACGCCAATGCAGAAAAATTGAGCGCTTTTGGAAGAAAACCCATCTCCACGTCCATCTGCTGCACCTAAAGGACCTTCTGACATCCTTTAACTCTGCAGTCAGAGAGAAATTATATTTTCTTCTTCTTGTTATCTCTCACCAAAATAGAATGTTTACTAAGAAATCACAATGTAACCATGGAAACACTACTTGGTATATATGTTGTGTGTGTCTGTCTGCCTGCGTTGTCTTCTCCATCCCCAGTGAGTCGTGGTGGATGGCTGCTTATACTGAGCCAGGATCCTCTGGAGGTTTCTTCCTGTTAAAAGGGAGTTTTCCTCTCCACTGTCGCTGCATTCTTGCTTCGTATGAGGATTGCTGTAAAGACTCTGTCACTAGTCCGTGACTCAATGCAACCTGCTGGGTTTCTTATATAGGA